CACATCACATTTTCATGTGAGTAGATTTTTGTAAGGATACTGATGGTTGTCAATTATATCATTTCCTCTATTTTATACTACAAAAAAAAAAGAAAAAAAGATATATATTCAGCAAGCTCTAAACTATTGTATTGTCATAACTTGATATGATTTTATCATTATGATGTTCCTATAATAATATTACAATTGAGGATTTGAATCTTATTTTTGTCCATATAAGTTTCCATACATAATACAATTACAAAATACTCTCCTAATCTCACCTCTATCTCATCATTTATGTTTAATAAAAGATTTTGTTATGACCTTTTTCTTTTTCACTTCTAATACCAAAATATATAATGTTTGTTATATATATATGTGTGTGTGTGTGTGTGAGGTTCACTCATGTTTATTTCAAATATTAGCTTACAAGAGAAACTCCTTACTTAGCTTATAGAATAAGCTCATTACTTAGCTTACAAAGGAAGCTCGTTATGTAGCTTTTAAAAGAAGCTTCTTAATTAGCTTACGGTAGAAGCCCATTTTTGAAGTTATTTATATATATCATGTCAGCTTATGTTTGAGAGATGTACTTGAGAAAATATATTAATAACATATCTCTTGCTCCTTCTATATTTATGTCTCTTTGTATTACTATATATATATATATATATATATATATATATATATTTACAATAATGTTCTAAGTCAGAATTAGTACACTGAAAATTGGTTCCAATAGAAGTGAAGCCTGTTCATATCTTATCTGTATCTGATGGAGTATTATAATAAACCGTTATTAAAAGAATTTAAAGAGAGAAAAAGGAAAATAAGAAAAAAATAAAGAGAATTTTAGAAATTAAAATAGTTTTAGGAGGGCAGTATATATAAATTTCCATAGATATGTAAAGAAAATAAAAAAATAAATATATATAATATAGTGGGCGAGGCAAGGTGCCTCCGCTGGGCTAACACTTGCTCGGCCCTAACACCTAGGCAAAATTTTCAAATCCGACAGGTCCCGCCCCGCCCCGTTTAGGGTGGGTTTGGGGACCCTTTTATGTAAATGGGGATGGGGATGGGGGTAGGTTTTGAAACCTTAGCGGGGGCTGGGGTAAACCCGTCCCGTCTTACCATATTTAGGATGTACATTTACTAAAATAACCTTATATATTATGATATATTACTAAATTAGATTAAGTATAGATAAACACACTTTTAAAACACACTTAAGAAAAATTATAGCTTGGTTGTGTTGAATCTTAGACTTGAGAATAAGAAAAATTACGTGCTAAAAAAAATTATAGTGTATTAATCGATTATAGGGGCGGGCCGAGTATGGGGATGGGGTGAAATTTTAAACAGGGATGAGAGTGGGGATGAAAAAATTCACTGGGTATGGGTATGGGTATGGGGATGGGGATGGGGAATGAGATCCCCGCCCCTGCCCCATTGCCATCCCTACTAACATCAATGAATACAAAATTTACCATTAACCAAATATGTACCAGTAAAATATATCAAGGGTAAAGTACATTAATACTCCCTGAGGTTTGTCAAAAGGACACCCAGAGGAAAGTTTGTTTATTTTGGGACAATGACACTCCCTGAAGTTTTATACATCTACCAAAAACACTCCAATGGTAATAAATTGACATTTTTACCCTTTGACTTTTATATTGACTAATTTAAATGCAGAAATGACCTTTCTAACCTCATACCAATAACAATTTATTTCCTTCTCTCCTCTCTATTTTCTCTTCTTCAACCCCCAACACCAACACACACTATCACACATATACACACACACGTAAAAAATGAAAGTGGAGTATTTAAATATTGTTAGGGCTAAATCATAATAAATGTCCTAATGCATCCAACAACCAAAATTCATATTTTGTAGATATAAATTTTCTAGTCTCACAGAATTTGACAAACACTGCAGATAGGAGGGATTGGATATAAACATTGAAAAATTTAAAACCAAAGCCAGAAAAATTACATCTATAAAATAATGAAAATTTCAAAACAACTTGCATCATTGATCAAATCAACCCACCAGGTTATTTGGAGAATTTAATAACCATAAAATGGCCAAAAGTTAAAACTTGGTTCTACTCAAGGAATAGATCAAAGTAATTAGATTTATTAACTGAAAAAAATATCAAGTAATTGATGTATTATTTATTAAATAAATATGAATGCATCATTTGTATGACAGTGTCTGTTGGTGTTGGGGGCTGAGGAAGAGAAAATAGAGGGAGAGAAAGAAAGAAATTATTATAGGTATGAAGTTAGAAATGTCATTTCATTATTTAAATTAGACAATATGAAAGTCAAAAAGTAAAAATGTCAATTTATTACTATTGGGGTGTCTTTGGTAGATGTATCAAATTTTAAGGGGTGTCATTGTTCCAAAAAAAATAAACTTTCCTTTGAGAATTCTTTTGACAAATTTTAAAGGGTGTTTACGAGTAATTCTAAATCTCTAGTTATACGATATTTTAACAAATATACTTGAATAACCTAATTTTAAACTTGCCTTGGGTTATTAACAAAATACTCTCTTAATTCCAACTTCATCTCATCCGTTACTTTTAATAAAAATTATTTTGAGAAAATATAAGAAATATGTCAAACAACCCCGGATGAGGTTGGGGTCCCCCACCCCAAAACTGTCCGTTGCCGTTCCTAAAAGAACAAACTTATTTTTACGGCAATTAATAGTCTGAACTGTAATTGCTACATGTGACAATGACCTAGGGTTGTTGACAAAATAATGTGCACATACTCTCCATTATCCACTCTTTCATGCTTTTTTTTAGCCCCCTTTTTTTTTAATTAATTATTATTATTATTTTAATTTTTGGCTGGACAAATCACTTTCCTTCCATCAAATTTATGGTTATGGTTACCACACTCGCTGGACACTGATTGAGTACCACCTTATTTATTATGCCTCCCCAACTTATGAGGCCATTTAAACTGCTGAGGGGTTGACATTTGTGCTTCTAAACTTTACTCCAATAGCGCGCGCGCGCACACACACATCAACGTTAATCCATTCATTGCGTGGGTCCCAACTAGATATTTATCAAAGAATATTAGGCATATTGAGATATTTTTATTACTAGATCAATAAAATAAATCTTTTGGCAATCATATAATTAATAATAATAATAAAATATGACCCCTCTTGATAAGCATTATTCTTCATCAAAATATGAAATTTAAATAACTAAAAATCTCTTCAATGAAATCTCCTAAGCAATATTTATTTTAAAATATTTAAGTAATTCGTCCATTCAGCAGACAAATAAATTAAAGGCTCAGTTTGTTTTGTTCTCCTTTTTTTTAGTGTCCATGAGGTTGATTTTGTAGCTCTCCTTACGACCTTTCCATTTAATAATCCCACGTATGGGAAAAGGCAACGCACAATCATATTATAATGTACCAACTAGATTTATTAAACAAAATCCCTTAAAATGGGATTCTCTTTTTCCTTTTGTCAAACCAATATATATTTTCTATACAAATTTATTTTTATTTTTTATTTTTTATTTATTTATTATTTATTTATTTTTCTTATGCATTACTCAAAATGTTTTAATCAAAAAATAGTTTTGCATGCCTTTGTATTAGGTATGATGTGGACAAGGACAAATCTTGATGTAGTGATAAGATTATTTTTTAAAAAGAAAATAATATTTTTACCTTTTTTACCGACAAACGTGAAATTGTATATATCTGACTTCTGAATTTTTAGTGATACTAAATAATGACGACCTTAATCCTTTTAAATTTATTTATGCGTAGAAAAATATGGTTGATACTTGCTAATTAGTAGTCCCCACATGATGATTTGATTCACAACATCAAACAGGCTGTCCTTCTCTTTGACTTGTCAAATTATAATGTTCAGATGAGATATTTGTTTGGTGTTATGTTATTTCCTCGTATCAAAAGATGAGATTATACTTCACAGAATTTAAACAAATATCAACAATGCAATCCCAACCGTCCCATAATCAGCTCGAAAATCATAGACCAATATGATCCTAAAATCTTGGGGAATCAATTTTTTTAATTGTCATGAATGGACGTGGTATGTAATGATTCCTATATGATTACCTTTTGGGAGTTGGAAGCAATTGTTTAGAGTGCACTTCTTTTTATAGCATATTAGAGAATGCATTTTAAGTAATCAAATAGAAATATAATAAGGTATAAGATGAGGTGTAAATATTTTTATTTTATATTTATTAATTAAACAAAAAATTACAATGAAGAACGAGATCCATAAAAATTATGAGATAATTTGGAGATTATATAATCTCGGTCAATTACTGTTACCAAAATAAATATAATTTTTAATGATATGATATCTTGTGATTGATCGTTACATATGATTCATATCACTATAGAGTTATACTTGAATAGCCATATATGCGAACACAAATAAGTATAATTAATTTAGCCTAGGTTTATGCGATCAATTTATATCTTCCAATACCTTTGGAACAAGGGTACATTAGTTAATAACTTGGACAAATATTCAGTAAATTGATTTTTTTTTTTCTTTGGTAGGTACAGCAAATTGAATTTTACTAGGATAAAGAGAAAAAAGGACTATTATTTGGTAGATATATATGTGAAAGAAATGAGTGATATATGCATATATGCTAAAAAAAGTAGGCTAACTAAAAGTGGAAATAATTAAGAAATACATTCACCTGGTCTGAAATGACCTTTCAATCAATATATATTTCGATGGCCTTAGTTATATATATATATATATATATATATATATTTTTTTTTTTTTTCTTTCAAAAAATAAAATAAAAAATAAGCTTTTTTCCAAAAGAAATAAGAGAAAAGAAAATTGCTAATAAAAGAATTAAAGAAAAACAGTTGGAAAGTGTGTTAGCTAGGAGACGCAAGATAGACATGTGTCAGAAATAAATGTGTAACTGCAAATCAGAGATCCATACCTGTTAGATCTTTATTGTGTTTGTGGAAGACAATTTCAACGCCTCCATGAGCCACCACTCTCTCTTCAGCCTAATTTGCCTATAAATACTGTACACAAAAGTCTACAAATTTAAACCACCAAAGCAAAAATAGTACTACTATAACTGTCTTTGACACTCAAATATGGCTGCAAATGTAGAGGTTTTGGATGATGAAGAAAGCCTTCATGTCAGGAATAGAATCCAACCCCTTTCCTCCACACCCATGTAAGTATCTCTGTGTGTGTGTTACACACACACACACACACATATATATACACACACACATATAAGTGATAAGAGTCAATTACAGTAATGTTTAGTACTTCACTCATTCTTTTCCCTTCATGCTAGCAGTTCAGGGCATTGGAAATCTGAGGAAGGAAAGAAGCAAACTCCAATTACATTGAGTGAGAGGCTGGGGTTGGATGAGTTATTTTCCATAAATGTTAGTACATATTTAAATTAAGTTCACACACACGCTTGTATGTATATGTATTGACACTCAAATTGGTGATCAGGTCTGGAGGGCAGCGGTTGGGGAGCTCCTTGGCTCGGCGACTCTTGTTTTCGCCATTGATACCATTGTCATCTCTTCCTTTGAGACTGAAACCAAAACACCTAACCTAGTAATGTCATTCCTAATTGCCCTTACTATTACAATTCTACTTCTAGCTGTGTTTCCTGTTTCCGGTGGCCACATCAACCCCGTCGTCTCCTTTTCCGCCTGCCTTGTCGGCCTAATCTCCGTCACACGCGCCACCATCTACATTCTGGCTCACTGTGCCGGTGGAGTGTTAGGTGCACTAGCAATCAGAGCTGTCGTAAGTGGCACCATTGAACAAACATTTTCACTTGGAGGGTGCACTCTCACTGTCATTGTACCGGGCCCGCATGGGCCCATCGTAACTGGCCTCGAGACGGGCCAGGCCCTCTGGCTCGAGATAATATGTACCTTTATTTTCCTCTTTGCTTCGATATGGATTGCTTTTGATGAACGCCAAGCAAAGGCTCTGGGCCTCGTCACTGTATTCTCGATTATCGGAGTGGTGTTGGGCCTTCTCGTGTTTATCTCAACAACGGTCACAAAAACAAAAGGCTACGCGGGAGCTGGGTTGAACCCGGCACGGTGTTTGGGCCCGGCGATTGTTAGAGGCGGCCACCTCTGGGATGGACATTGGGTCTTTTGGGCTGGGCCTACAATAGCTTGTGTGGCCTTCTATCTGTACACCAAGATCATTCCACGTCAGCACTTCCATGCCAAAGGTTACAAACATGATTTCTTCAATGTTTTGAAAGCTGTGGTTTATTCTGATGGCAATCAAAAGTAGAGAAATGGATTGTGAAGATGAAACCAAATCTCAATGTTGTGTGGGCCAATCTGATGATATAAGGCCCTTGTCCTGTGGAGCTGATGTTTACCGCCCAACATGTTGTATTTTATTATACCTAAATTCTCTATGTATGTTTTTCTGGAATTTATGAAAAATTATATAATATTATAACTGATATTAACAACCAAGAATTAAGTGATATTTTCTCTACTTTTCAAAATGAAGAATTGAAGGTTTGAATACTCGGCCTAAATTAGTCAAACCAGAAAAAAATAAACTGATACAGTTCTTTATATATATATATATACATATTGTTGATAGTTTAATATATATACATGATATGTAATATATTTTTTAGAGTTTAAATTTGTCGATATTTTATTTTATATGTATGTATTATAAAATACTAACAATTTTTTTAGCTGATAAAATGATTGAAACACTAAAATATAAATCAATGACAAATTGCCAATACAAGGGCTGCTCTTAATCCTCTTTAGTTTTTATTAGTCAGTCGTAGCTGCACTATTGTCAAATTTGTGACAACGATCAACCAAAAGAACAACGAAATCTAAATTTTATACGCTTATTGATTGTTCTTAGACTCTGAACCTTATCTGTGTAAGATATTCTTTAATCTCTCTTGTACTGCACAATCAATTGATTAATAGAATATTACACCAAATATTTTATCTATGGAATGTAATTTGTTTATAATCTCAAAGCAATATTATAACACCTATGGTCAGTGTCTCACAAGATATGTGGGACCCCACAACTCTTATAAGACCCGACTTTTGGGTGCCCTTAAGTTTATTACTTTTACTTGTACACTCGTCTTTCGAGACCATGCCTGGAAACTGTTTTGTTACTATCACATAAAAATTCACATGCACATAATTTGCACTACTCTTCCTTGATAAAACAGTGCCATTAAGCAAGAGAATACGCAAACAATTTGGTTTAGCCATGCTTTCTGTTATGGATTAGTGCAGGAAAGGGGCTATTTTCTTGCATTTTCCTTTTCTGTCACAACATATCTTTCATTAAAATTGAAAATCAGGACCTAGGATGGAACTCGAGTTTTAAACATTCTCGGCTTCCGCTAGCTCAATTGTGCGTGAATATATAACATGTTCCAAACTTTTTACACAACTGGAAAAAAATGGGAGTAATTAAAGAATATATCAGCTAGAAAACTGCATATTTTTAAAGCATTTCATTAGCACAATCAAGTTAAGAGCACAGTACACAGTACTTGAAATTATGCTTAGTTATGATTCCTGTATGTATGCCTTCATATACTCTGATTTAGTTCCCTTCATACGGCAAGAGGCTAATCTTATGATGACGTCGGCTGCAGGAGTGTGGAAGAAGAGGCAATCGGATCATGCACAACTGAATTCGTGGAAAATGAGACCGGTTCACCTTCTAATTTCAACATGATACTCCCCAATATTTCTGTCAAAATCTTCTTGAACTCGTCTTCTTTAACGATCTTCCCATCATCAGCATCCAACGTCTTAAGCACATTCGCAGTAACCTTGTCCATCTGTAAATTTTAAAGGTCACTCAAATTTACTAGCTAGTAACAAGACCCTAAGACAGATATGTTTGCATAAATGACACTAATCAAGATAGCCTTATTCACCCAGTGCACTTACTCATTCAGATTAAACAATCAAATAATTTTAAGGGTAAAGTGCATTAAACCCCCCTGAACTATTGGGGTATGTGCAAAAAACCTCCCTGAACTATAAAAGTTGCAAAAAACCCCCCTTGAACTATTTGGGGTATGTGCAAGAAACCCCCCAGAACTATAAAAGTGGCAAAAAACCCCCCTGAACTATTGGGGTATGTGCAATTTACTCCCCTGAACTATAGATTTTTTTTGCAGTTTATCCCATCCGCGCGAATTGATTGACTGAAAGGGACGATGAAGTCGAGGAATTTGTGGCTGGTATCGAAGTGGTAGATGTCGTCTGAGGAGTGTTTGGATAAGCCAAGGAATCTGTTACTGGGATCGATGGGTCTCCTGTTATAACTCCATCATAGCCGTTGCACCACCCGCTAGATCCGTCGGCCATATATATCGCACTTCTCTGCACCGTTGCGTCAGTCTATCGTTGTCACCGCCTTGCCCGCCATTCAGCTCACCTTGCTCGCCGGTCCATTCTACCGTCCATTCCAAACTCGCCGGCCCATTCCGCCATCTCCATAGCCGAGCACATCGTCGTCCTTGTTTCAAGCACACAGTCATCCACAGTTCACCGCCGAGCCTTCTTGAGCTCGCCGCAGCCTCCACTGTTCACGACCGAGTCAATCGAGCTCTCATCATAGCCGAGTCCTCCGCGCACAAGCCGCCATCATCCGAGACCGAGCCATCCCGCCGACCTCGGATTTCTTTGGTCTCTTCTCTTTCTCTCTCTAGCTCTCTGTTTTGGGTTGTGTTGGGTGAAAAACATCTTTTGGCAGAAGAAAAAAAAATGTAAGAAGTGTATAAGTTAAAACGACGCAGTGTGTTATAAGGGTAAACTGGTCTTTCAAAATTTTCGGTGCCGAAAGTTGATGTCATGGGGGTAAATTGCAACAAAATCATAGTTCAGGAAGATTTTTTGTAATTTAGGGGTTTTTTTTTTGCAAATGACCAATAGTTTAAGGGGGTAAATTGCAACAAAATCATAGTTCAGGGGAATTATTTGTAGTTCAGGAGGGTTTCTTGCAAATGACCAATAGTTCAAGGGGGTTTAATGCACTTTACCCTAATTTTAATATGACTGATCATTGCTAGCTTCTTATGCATGAAAATTTGAAATGACAATGCGACTCAAACACAAGATACGAGTCGGTTTAAATCTTGAAAAGAGTATACCTCATCAACTGCTCCCAATGGTGGTAAACCTGCGGATGGGGCCACCACATCCAGTGCCTTGCGCAAATAGTCCTTGGACATTTTCCCGTGGCGATCTCTTGGCACGTCTTTCAATGCTACATCCAGTGTCTGCATTTCAAGATAAGTGGTGATCATAGTTTAATAAATAAAGTACTTTACTATGACGGGAGATAAGACCTAACTTTGACATTATTATGCACAAAGTGGTTGCTAATGTACCCGGATCCATGTTCTCACTAATGCTAGCTCGAGCTATGTAGTAATGAGGATAATAATGTATAATTAATTTACTACATATATCAAATTGTTTAGGATAACTTTTGGATTTCATGCTTGATGAAACTACTCGAAAAAGGTAAAGTCAGAGTCGGTTTATAGGCAGATAACTCAACTAAAATTGTTTCGAGCAAAAGCTTCAACCATAGGAGTCAAATAGCTATATTACTAACCTTGTTCAATTCAAATTTGTTAGATAAGAGTCTTTTGATGCCACTTCCATTAAAGGTGTTCTCACTGTGGGCAACAATTACAGGTTGTTCCTTGAGACGTTGAGCGACACACTCGGCTACTTTCTTAAACTCCACCAAAAATGCCTCCTGAGAGATGGGTTGTCCATGATCAACACCACAAGATAGCAGCACTGGCTCCACGATGTTGTTCATAACCTACTCGAGGCAAAGACCCCAAATAAGTACCGAAGCAGAAAAAAATCTCAATACAACATTAATATTTGACAATGTAATCTTGGAGGAAAATTGTGGTGAGAATTACCCAAGAGTCTGAAGCAGGGGGCATCCCTTGTTCGACGGTGAGTTTTTCTAGAGCCTTGATAATGTAATATTGGAGGGATCCATCAGGCAAGTCTAGTTCTGAAAACAAGGAAGCCATCTCTATTTCAAAACTCGGGCTCCTAATGAACTCCAAGAGGTCTTCGCCATCGATACGAAGGATCACAACAGGGTCTCTCTTCAAACCGGCAGCCATGCCTATTAGAATATCCGAAAGAACTTCTTTGAATTCGGTCTTGCTCACTTTTTTTTGTTTGCCATGGGTGAATTCATTCAAAACCTGCAATATGCCAACAATATGGTACATCATGCACTTGATGTATTTGTGACAAAAAAGTAAAGTCCAAGGGCACACTCAATTTTAATTCAATGAGGCTTGTTGCATGCGCCAAAGACTCATATCGGCTAAAAAAGATGTGGACCAACAGTCAAGTGTGGTCCACGTTAATCAAGGGCATTGAGAGGGATAGATCGAATACAGACCTAACTTCGAATTTTTAAACCAAGCAATAGTCTCACAAAGGAATTACAGAGTATACAAAACATATTTAGGGCTGTGCCTAGAGTAACCCACCAAAAGCCTGCCTACACTAAAATAACAAGGAATATGAAAAATTAGTTTGGTAATTTTTGTTAACAGTCATTTTCTAAACTACTTTAGTTTGGTAATTGCGGTTCTAGTGTGCTAATAATGCATATAATTATTAGTTCGGTACGAGAAAAATTAGTATAAAAGTTATCTTGTTTTTTCAAAAAAAAAAAAAAAAAGTTCACTAGAGAGAAATATTGACGTTGGCAATTGAAATGATGGTGTTTTGAAAATGAGCACTTCCGTGAAGTTTTGTCAAAGGAGGCTCCACTAAATCTGGAAATATTTGGCAACTATTCAATTTTGCATAAAAAGATAAAATTTAAAATTAAATATTATGTTTTTAACAAACGCAACATAAAAGTTGTTTATAGGGAATGTAGGAATTAGTTAAATTTATAATTATCAATAAATTTTTTAGGATTTTCTAATATCCAACTGTTATGTTTTTCAAGTATACCAAAAATCAAAGTAAAGATATAAAACCATCCCTCCCCTTCACACATCATGTTATTTATTTAAATACAGTTTTATTCTACATTAATATTTTATTAAAAGAAATATGGAGATCAATTTACAAATATAGCTCCAAAATTATTTATTTATTCTAGTAGATTCTTCCTTTTAAGAAGATTAGATAAAGCAGCAGAAAAAGTGAAAAAGTCTAATAGGAAAAGAGAAGCAACTTGAAAAAGCAAAGCCCCACAACACCGACAAAGTTGATCGCTGGCGCTGGATGTTTCTGGAGATATATATATATATATATATATATATATATATATATATATTCCATTAACTAGATGCTACCAAGAATAGCCCAGCTCTATCCTTTAAACTTTAATGTCAAAAAGGATGAAGTCATCAATTAAAATGTAATATAAAAGAATGATTATAAGTTAGTACTACTATGCCTAGAATTTGGAGTTCTTTCGGTACTTTGTAACGATAGATCTCATCAAAACTACTCCTACTTAGTAATAAAAATCCTTTCCAATCATAATTGTGTTTTGAAACTAGAAAGTCAATTACACAAGACAAAATAAAAAAAATGCCCAAAAAAAGCAAAGAATTAAATAGTGTATGAATGCAATTTAAACCAAAACAAAAATATTGGCTACTAATTACATTCATGCGGGTCTTCACATATTCGAAAGTCAGCTTGACACTCGACAGTATTTATGTGAAACTTCACGTACATTTAGGCTTTGTTTGATTTATCATAAAATATTTTTTAAAAATTATTCTTCTTATTTTTCGTATTTGAAAGAATCCAAAATGAAAAAATTATTTTTTTTATGTAAATCATTTTACTCCCAAATGACTGAAAATAATTTATCAAAAATATTTCCGTAAGTTATTCTTTACAAGTTATATTGCTCATATAATTATTTGTATTCTTATTGAAATCTTATGTCTTTCTAACAATTAATATTTTTGGGCCTTTTCAATTTAAAATTTTAATTTTTAATATTCTCTCTATATGCTGCATAGTGAGAGGAGAGTGCGAGAGAAAAAGAGGAACACAAATTTGGGTTGGTTGAAGAATAAATTTGGATGAAGAGCATGTTCGATCTGTACAGAATGGGAGAGTAGTGGAGAGAGAAAATAACAAGAAGGAGAGGAAGGTAGCGTAAAGAAATAATGGGATAGTTTAGGGATTACTATTTGAGGACCACCAAAGAGAGAGGATTAACTGTGGGTGCTATTTTCTATTAGTGCAAAATACTGAAGAGTTAATTGTGCACAGAAATTAATTTAAAAAATATTTTACAAACGGATGCCAAACATCAAAAAAATAAAAAATATATTTTACATAAAAATGTTTTGTTTAAAAAATATTATACGTTGAAATATGGAGAAATACGGACAAACCTCAGAATAGATATGATCAGAATCGGGAGAAGAACCCTTGGCAGGCAAGCCGAGAGCAGCACCAATATCAGCGACAGCAGGTTGTAACTCGTTGACAGAGAGGGCACCGTCAAGGTCTGTATCGAGTTCTTGGAACTTATGTTCCACAAACTTACGAAACACCTCCTTGTTCTCAACCAACTCCATTATATCTGAACCGTCTATCACCTCACCATGCCCTTCACTACTTTTCTTCTTCTTCATCATCACACTACTACCACTCTTTCCCTCCATTTTCTACCAATTACCAGTATAGCCTCTTCTTTTTCTTAATTACACACCTTGCTTTTTGGTCCGCCTCTTGTGAACACAGACTGCTAGTGTATTATTATTTGTCTACTCCTCTTTCTGTGGCGTTATGTGATCCCTTTGGTTTAAACACCGAGGAGATAGAGTTGCTTCGTGTTTTTTTAACACAGAGAGAGAGGGACAGGGGTGCTGCTGGCCACAACCTGCTGTGTGGTTGGGACACGTGGGGCGGTTTTAGGGTGGGTACGTGTGAAAGAAAAAGGTCAGATGAAATGAAAGGGGGTGGTGTCTGATTTGCTTTTCTGTACTTTGGACGGCGCGTAACTTTGTCAAACGTGGACATGTCGATGTCGGGTCTAATTTGTGCCAGAGAGGGCGTATTGCGCACGGAATTTGGTAACGTGGCTTAGAGCATCGGAATGCATCATACACCATCTCTATCTATCACGGAATTTGGTAGCGTGGCTTGGAGCATCGGAACGCATCATACACCATCTCCATCTATTTTTTTAAAAATAGAATGCAACATAAGCATTATTTAAATAAAAAATACTTACATGATACTTAATTTTTTTTAATAAAAATTATTCTAGGGTATGTAACGTCAATATCTCATTATTCAAAGGTGAGCCATCACTGGTTACAGTTAAAGATGTTGGGAAAAGGAACCAAAAATTAATAATTAAAATATTAAAATATTATAACAAAATGAATAAATATTATCCATATGATTGTCTAACTGTGGAGAATGAAATAGACAATAATAGGTAGAGACCACTAATGAAGGACTTTAGCAGCATTTAGGGAGCAAGCCACTTTAGAGTGACTGTGTGTGGAGGGGGTCGGTATGCAGTAGCAGTAGATGGCCTTTTTTGTGGGCCATACAATTACTTTTTATGGAGTTATTTGAATACAGGCATTGGACAATTCGCTATTTTTTATTTTTATTTTTATTTATTTATTTATTATTATTTTTTTTTTGTGTAATTGACTATGTGGCTTCTGTCTTGACAGGGTGTGCCTACAATTAAATTAATAAAATAATAATAAATAGAAAATGAGATAATTGAGTTTCACACCATGGAACATATGGATAAAAAAAAATAAAATACCATATTATCACTTTTTTACTTATATGGCACTTTACTTTTTTAAAAATAAATATATAACCTTACATGCCCACATCACTTGCTCTAACATTCACCCATACTAGCCCCCTCTCTCTCTACACATAAATCTAATCTACATTTACCTCGCCCCGACTGCTCTTATAGTCAAGAAAAGAGGGAGTGGGAGGGATGTGTTGCGTCCATCCAAATGGTATTTGGACTCCAAAAAGGTCCATACCTTAGGGGCCGGATTTTGGACCTTCGAATTCTCAATGGGCTGTAAGAAAAGATTCATGGACCAGTCTGAGCTGATTGAGAAGTTGTTTGGGTATCCTGTTCCGACCCTGCTCAATCAAAAGTCAAAACACCTCATATTTTGATTATTAAAGAGAAATTATTAAATAATTCTGATCTATTAAAAATTAAGTGTATCACTTCGTTGGAATCATTGGTCTGGGGTAAGATGTCTAATATTTATAATGTTGGGGTAGTTAAATGTTGAGATACCACCGGTTAACCAATTAATGTGACTTGTGAGATACAACAACTTTTAGGAAACAATTGAATTAGAACGGTTGATTTCGGTTAAATTTAGATTCTCGAATTCAAAAAAACAGTCTTATAAGAATATATTGCAAAGAAAAGATTTCATTAAATTAATTCACCATAGTATCAAATGGACCAGATACATCTAATAATTTCTTTTAAAGAAATTATAACCACCTCTAAAACAATTATACTAATGAACATAACCACCTCTCAACAATTATACTAATGAGGGCTGCTAGCTTTTTTAGGAAACAATCTATTATGTGAACGAAAAGAAAAAAGAAAAAAGAAAAAAAACAAACAGTCATGTGAATATATATCGTGTATGAATTTTGAAATCATTCTTATTTTTCTTTTACACATTAACTAAAACTTAAATTCTATAATTTTAATTCAATTAAAACTCAATCTCATAATATTACTTCAATTAAAACTTAATAATGATGAAAAATAAAGATTCCATCAACATGAGCACACAGATATATAACCATATATATATATATATCTAAAGAGAATTGTACAAAAAGGTAAATAATGTAGGTTATATATATTGTATGGATATATATACAAACGGAAAAAAAATAAAGATGTAAGAATTTTAAATGTTAATTTGGTCCTAAAACGTTAACTTTTTAAAGTTTCATTAAAACAGAAATGATGTATTAATTATACCTTTTATGATTGATTTTTCAACCAATGAGAAGCCACTGTCCTTCTACAGCACATGTGCGATTGATTGCAGCTATGAGTCCCGTTGTACTAATATATTGAGTTCTTCTTGTTCTCAACTTACAATCAATTTTAATGATTCTCATTGGACCTGAAACTCTGGGAGCTCTCCATGGGCTGTAAGAGAAGGGTCCAATAGGCCGAGGACGAAAATAGCTACTAGATTAATAGTCTAGAGGCCGACTGGACTCTCTATGGACCTAAATGGGCCGAACAACAGGCTTCTGAATAAAGCCTAACCCAACTGGTCACCCTGTTTTATGGTCACATTTCTTTTTCACATGCATCCCTCTTCACAGGATTACCTAAACAATCCATATAAATAATAGGATAAATTATACTAATCTTTCTTAAAATTGCAAATTTTACACAGAGTAACATAATGTATTCATTCTTCAAATAGGATTTCAAGGTTAAATATTCCAAAATTAGTGTGTTATAATTATTTTTTAAAAAAAATAAAAAAAACTTTTATTGATATATATACGCAAAATGACTTGTATACATGTAATATATCCACATTTACATCCATAGATTCTAATTTTCTTTCTCTAGTTTTTTTTTTTTTTTTTTTTTTTTTTTTTTTTTTTTTCACTTGACAATGGTTAGTGAGATTAGTAGGTAGAGAGGAAAGGGGAGGGAGGAATTAGAAGTTAGAAACATGAATGGTTCGAACACTGATACTCGTCAACTCGTGAGGTTCGCTCACCACCTGGCGTATAAGACACATCCATTTTCTTTCTCTAGTTGGGTCTTTCAAAAACTAAATTGTTCAGATTTATATATAGAAAATGAGAGAATAGAAATTAGAAATGACGTGCAGTAGTGTTGATAGAGGTATGCACGTGGCCATTGCCGTTAGAAGGAGGTGATGGTGGAGAGAGAAAACAAAGCTATGGGTGTACGAACGAACAATGTAAAATGATTTGATGTTGCACATGGCCACGTCATGGTGACGATGCTTGTGATGGTGTGTGATATGAAAGGGAAGAAACTCAGAAAGTGTTACAACTTTTATAAGGATAACAGTGGACTTCAACGGCGGATCAAGGATTTCTTATTGGGAGTGGGCTAATTTTGGTATAGTGGCTGAGTTGACACGGACTTGATTGGGTGGGCTCATTTTGGCGTCGGTTAATAATATTAATATAGTAATTTTTTTATTTTTGGGTGAGCTACAGTCCACCTAGGTTCACCCTTTTATACACTTTTGGTGGACGTCACTAATGAGAAATGTCATTGCAAGTAAGAACGGAGCTAGGGTTGAAAAGTAAAGGGCTTAAAATAATAAAAAAATGTAAAGATGAAGACAATAATTTTTATAATAAAGATATGTTATATATATTTAAAAATAGACATAAAATACAATATTTTTTAGGGGATAAAAATTAAAAATTACCTGTAAAAAGAGTTTTCTTATTTTAGAGAGATTCTACTCATTCTACCTATTCTATTCATTGATTTTTTTATCTATATTTGTTCAAAAATATGCAAAATTATTGGGCTGATAGGAAGAGGAAGAGTAGTATTATAGATTGGGCTGAGTAGTACTATGGATTGTGCTGGTAGTAAGAGGAAGAGAAATAATAATACTAAAAATTAATTACATATGAACTGAGTTGATAAGAATAGCAGAACTATTTTTTTTAAAAAAAATTGAACCTGGGCTATTGCTCAGGTTAACCTATTAAAAGCTCCATCTGTCACATAAGCCTTCTCAACAGGTGTCGCTTTCACGCTCTGAGCGCGTTTCTGCTTTTATACTACACGCGCGCTTTCGCTCAAATTCTCACTACTTATAACTTCATTATGCCGTTTTCGAATTCGCTCCCGCTCTCGAATTCGCTCCAGCTCTCGAATTTGCTCTCGCTTAAATTTTCACTGTTTATGACTTAATTATGTTACTCTCGAATTCGTTCTCGCTTTATGTGACTTTGTCGATGATTGCAATAAATAAAAATTATGTAATTAGAGCACATCTTAAAAAAGATCATTCCACTTATCATTTATTAAACAAACAAAAAATATGAATAATTACTTATCTAAATAATACTATCTAGTACCTCCGTTCTAAATTAGATGTCCTGTTTGGGGAACCGTGACTGAATCACAGTCCCCAAATATGACATTTTTTTTTTGAATCAGAGAGAGTACTATTAAGTCACAGTTTTCAAAAAAAATATTTTTTAAAAAACGGAGTAAAAACCAGTTTTCAAAATGGATATTTAAAAAAAAAAAAAAGCGAGACGGGTACCTATTGTTCATGTGGTGGGTCCTAAGCTTGCATAAGGCATGTTCCTTGTCCTTGCAGTATTATTAGTTCAAGGATTGTATTTGTGACCAACTAGACCCGCCCCAATTTGGATTGAAGGCCCCATCTGGCAGCTATAATTTTGTCATTCGCCCCCTGTTTTTCACACACCTCACAACTCCTCCACATGCTCTTGACGTCAATGGCCCCAGTGACTCTTTTCTCTAGATACCCAAATATTATCAACATTCCTTTCTTTTCCATCTTATAAAATGCATACACTTAATTGGTCGTTTTTTATTTTTATTTTTAATTTATTTTTAATCTACTTTTGGTAAGTCTATGACAAGTACTAAACCTTAAATTGAGTGGTTAATTTTAATGGTATCATCCTATTCGTACAGGGGCGTTTTGAAAACTATGAACGATTATGTGGTCCTAGTACAGAGCAGACCGGAAATAGAAGAGCAATAGAAGAGCTATACGGTTCAAATTTCTAAACGAGGCCAGCATCCTTTATTTGATCAGAAATGTGAACTTCATAATGTCTGTGTCAGAAAAAAAAGATTTGTGTCCTATCCACTGGGCTTGGAAGTTGGAACAGGTTGTGCCAAAAATATCACTTACTACATTGGAGCTACAAATAAAAGATCATGTTGCTACCTCAATACAATATCACTTATTTTGTTTAAGAAAATAAAATGCAGTAATTGAGTAGGTTATGGAACAATTTTCTGTTCATCTTTATTGCTTTTACAAAGTAGTGTTCACACTGCACATTAATTTCAACACGCACACATATATATACAAAGGCTTCTTGATTGTACTGTCATTACCATTTATTTAGTTTATGAATTTATCAGCTCTGTAATCTTGATTCGTTAGCGGTTACATGTATCAGACACAAACCATCATGTGAGTTTTTTTTTTTTTTTTTTTCAAGGTAATCTGTGCAATGTTGCCTATTAGCAGAAGCTAGAAGAAAATAATTAGAAAATAATGACTATTTTATTTTGAAACTAATGAGATCGATATTTACAGGATGATACAAAATTGGTTGAGGATTTGATTCTAGCTCTAGCTAAGAAATATATGGAAACAACTTATGTAGTTGCGCTTTCATCAATGGTCACTCAAATGAGAAGTGACACTTAAGAAGGTGGCCTTGCTGCAAGGGATTATAAGACCACCCATTGGAGTATCGTATCCATATTCTTCCTCGGCCTTCCTCAAAAGGTCTTGAAACATAGGGTGCCTCAAGTAGGATATTGGAACCACGAATCGGTTCTTCTGGCTCTCTCCAACATACACTGCAAAGTGGCCCTTCGGGACATCAGGAGACGAGGACTGGCGGTTGTTTGTAGACATTGGTCGAAGAATTTGCTTGGCTTGGTGAACGATTGCTGCCAAACGAATCCCCATTAGCTTTTTTTTTTTTTTACCTAGTAGAGAGTATAAGCTTTTTTTAGTTATAATGCTGGTGCAAAAGTGATGAAGCTGGTGGTTCAAGTATGTGTGCTTATATAGAGTGTGGTGGAGTGTATGGGCTTGTTTTGTGCTGAGCAACATGGACATGTACAATAATTTGGTACCTACCCTATAAGGTGGGACCAACTTACACCCAAACAGACACTTAGCTAGGCCACTACTTGAATTCATGGCAGATCTCATCACACTCTCCAACTTGTTAGAGGGATTCATGTGAAATTACTAATGACTGCCCATGGTTTTGAGCAGACAACTAAGTAAACCTTCAGGCTGCAAATTGTTTAATTTATCCTGCTGCTCTTCTCGTGGTGATATTTATATATGTTGTTATATCCAAAAAGCATTATTGCACATGCCAAATAGCCTTTTGTTCACTCAACTGTAATGACTCTCTGTGTGTATGTGCGTGTGTGAACATGCCCTCATTCATTAGCTAGCCAAAGTTGCTGACTAGAGCATGAAAATTGCAGACCCTGATAAGGATGACAGTGTTGGGATGGTATTGACTTCTATCAATGCACCGAATAGCTACAGCCTTCATTGTCCATCATGAGCCCCTCATTTGATATCAAACAGTGAAACTTTGAATTGGTCCAATACTTTTGCTCTCACAAATACTGAACCATGTTATAGAAGATTTACAGTTGACTAAAAACAATGCCAATCATTCTAAATTGGGATTGGTCGATTTCCTTCGGCTTTTTTGGTTGGCATTCCATTTTTTTTGAAAATAGGATGGCCTTTTCATGCATTAGTTGTCCCAGTATAGTACTTCTATCTCTAACATTGGCATTACGACGTATGTATCCGAAAAACAGTAATCTGTAAGACCGCAACTAATACTAGACACCTAAAAGCTGTATTTAATGAGCCGATAGAATAGAGGATTTCAATGTAGGGACTTATCATGTTCTTGAAACAATGTCTGTAGCCTACCAAGGACTACAATGAGACAAAATCTATGTACAAGACCTGGCATTGGACTTCACAGTTACATAAATTTTTATGCTTGTTCAAGCTTTTTATCTGATTAACATCATTATAAGATTTAAACCTAAGCAATCAACATCTATCACTGAATCCACTTAAGTCCAACCAGGGTCTACAAAAGATGTTCAAACCAGGAGTAACCGGAAATGGCCTAATAGTCACCATCTTACTGACTCATCAATGGCTCTGTCCCATATAACAGGCCTTGATCTTCAGTAAATTTACAGGTACCTTAAATCTAATTCATGGAACCATTGAATTGTTAGTTTAGTGAAAAGACCTCTAGCAATAACTAGTAGATAGTAGTATTGTACGGTACCTTTCTTGGCTGTGACCCATATGTTCAAGCTCTTACTGATTTTTGGGCAACTTTGTCTATATTCCCCAAAAGCATTCACTCTTTTCAACCAAATTTTTTATTGATAAGTATTTATGAGTTCTGATGAGACTTCATGCTAGGAACTTGCTTTTGATGATACCATGGTTGAAGTTTGGAAATTATTTCAAGTTTAGCTTTGCTATAATTATCTCTTTTTTTCTCAAGCTTTCTGAGCTTTATCTACCTGACTTCTCTACCATCAATGTCCAAGAGCAACAATGATTATCTCCAGAGGACATTTATACACAATTCATTCTAAATTCAGTAATACAGCTCAAATTTAGGTCATAAAGTAGGAAACTTTACATTGAAAATTTTATTTACAAATGGGATATTGTGAAACATAATCTGGGTTGGATTTGATAGTAACCCATGTTACGTACAAAATTGAAGAGACTGGCTTGACTGTCTCAAATTATGTCGTCGTTGAATTGGAAGGCAAAAAAATCACCAATGACATACACACAGAGGAACAATCAAAAGGCAAGAGTACGGTCTCTGTCATTTATGAAGAGTTTAATAGAGAACTGAGACTAATAAAGTAGTCTTCACTGCATGGAATTGTCAGACCTCCCATCGGATGGTCAAATCCAAATTCTTCTTCAGCCTGATGTAGCAAGTTTCGGAATAAAGGATGGTTCAAGTAAGATATTGGAATGACAAACCGCTTATGAGCTTCTCCAACATAAACTGCGAAATGGCCTTTTGGAACATCACTAGTGGCAGAAACTGTTCCACTTCTTGGCGAAAGAGTGCGTTGGAGCTTTTGTTTGGCTTGAGCTATCGCCATCAATCGGATGCCCATCTTTAGAAGAGATGTTAACAGACCTTAAAAGGTTGTTCAAATGAAGGGAAGCTATACAATATTATGGAAAGGAAGACTTGGTTGAAATGGGATGTAAATAATAACCAAGTATATATAGAGACACTTGGTCCTCTGAAAATGAAAGAACAGTAAGTACTAAAAAGAAATAGATAGAATTGAGAAACATGACTGCTTCAGAAACTATATTAGGATCACATGGTTTGCCTTATCCAGTCTAGGACATACTGCCCTACTACTTTAGAGAACTGACAAAGAGAGATGCAACTTGAGAAGTTATATATGGATATCACATTGCTTTAACTAATAAAGCACTAGACTTTTTGATGTATGGCATTTTCTTGACAACAAAGACCCTTCTCAATAGAAAATGAAATTAAGAATCATATTCATTGATTACAGGAGCAATGAACTTAGACTAGTCCTAGTCTATAGTATCCTTTGTGCCAACTTACCAGCCAACCTCAGTGGGTCATTATGATGACCCAAGGTTCCAAAACTACCAACAATTTAAACAAAATTTAAGGGCTCATCTGCATATTGCTTGTTCAACTCAGGTCGGCTCAATTAGGATTTTAGCAACCTCTTGACTTGGTCTTTTGATACTTGTCACGTTAGGTAGCTGAGTCTAGCCACAACCAATTTACTTGTTTTAATATATTCGTCACATGGAAGAGTTTTGTGCTTCTACTGCATTTTCTTTATGTAATAATTTTTTCTGATTTATGAATGCAAATTGTTCTGACAAAAGCTTGCAATACAAATGGTCCAACAAGGTATCTAGACCACTTGAAAGTTTAAGGCAGACAATAGAGTTGCTTCACAAAATGATGGTCTTCAGAATAGAAAATATCACCATCCATGATTCTTACGCTTGCTATAACTTTTTACTAAATGGTATAAAGTTTGGTGGATTCTTTACGTATGAAGATATTTCTCAGGAAAAACTAGGATATGTTTCTATCTGAAATATGACTTCAGAACTGCACAAGATGTTGATTGAATGTGATTTATGAGGTGCATTTTGATAAAGGTACAATGAACATTTTGGTTGTAAGATATTTCATTGCAAGACAAGTCATTTGGAATTAATGTCTTACAATGACATGTATTCCCAAGGTGCAAGACATGTCATTTGGAATGTGGCTGATACATTGGATGTGCATTTACATGATCTGGTGGGAATGTTCACATGCTGATTGTAGGGATTATGATGGTTTTATTGTGTATGAAGATCTACTCTCTGGTTTTTTTCTTTCTAAAGGGTTGGTTTGCTTGTTCTTTTGCTGGCTTTTCTTTTCTTTTAGTGTAACTAGCAATTTTTTCGGGAATAGGATTTCTTAATTCCCTGTTCTACGTATCTTTGGTTGGTTGTTAATAAAATGATGCTTAGGAAAAAAAAAGGAAAAAAAGGTACAATGACCTTTTGTGGTCAAGTATGTACCATAATTTTTATAAGACTGTTATGCTTTCAAAATGGTACCTAAAAAGCCAGTGATCAAAAGAGCTCTTTGTGTGTCTAACATTTTGATACCTGAAAACTAAACTTTTGAATATATTAGCGACTGAATCTGAGTGGCGGAAGAACACATCAAGGGGTCCTTTGGGAGAATTAATAAGTGCATAGTGCTGCATACCAACTAAGCTAGAATGCAGCCACTTTATCAATACTAATCATTTAGGCTTCCTTAAGGTTACTGCACTCTGAGATGGGTAATGTGACCTTGGAGAGCATGATGAGGTTGGTCAAGCAATTCAATGGTGTGAAGTCAATGCTCATTGAGATCCTTTTTGAGAAATGATGAGATAGTTGATCTGTAATTACACAATGAAAATCATTCTCCAATGTATGGCTTACTGGTCTTGTATTCTGGTCAATTTGGATCATATTATCAGCATTATAGAACATCATATGGCTGGTTGGTACACTGCTTCTAGTCAACCTTTCATGCTTGCATATTAGGCCAAGTTCATATAATCACCAAATCTCACTTTCAGTGTCAAGAAATTCATCGGAAAAAAAACATCTAATTAATTTGTCCTTCCCCATTCTCGTGTCATGACACAGGCAGTTCTGGTGACCTTTGTGTCTATTTGACCACAAGCCTAAACAAATGTTAAGGGAGCAACTTACAATGCATGTGCAAGATGCATTCTGTGTGTTAGATACTACTTTTTAGTCTTCAAGCCAAATGCTTTGCTGGATATATGTTATACTGTTATAATCATCAGAAAACAATCATAGACGAGTATTTTGAGTAGACCTAGCTCCTTTGTTTGCACTTCTAAGGTGGTAGGCCATGAAAAATCTTGAAGATGCATTACAGCACAAAATCTATCAGATTCTAAAAACTTTTTTTTGGGAGGCATAACCATGTGATACCACACGCCATACCTCATTGGTATGTCCTCCAATGGACCTCATTGCAGTCATGTCTTCATTAATCACTCCAACTGAGAATGCTGCCATATGCAAAGTGCTCTATATATACCTACCTATTCGAACATTAACCAACCCACCATCAAAGCTTCTCTTGTTTTGCACCTCTCCTAGAGATCAACTCTATCCTTGCTATTACTTTTCCAAGAAAAACAGTTCACAAAAATCATGGGGATCCGCTTGCCGGGAATTTTTCATGCTAAGCAAGCCATCCGACGAGTTCTCTCAACTCCAATGGCTAAAGATGTGCCCAAGGGGCACTTCAGTGTCTATGTTGGAGAAACTGAGAAGAAGCGATTTGTTGTACCGATTTCATATTTGAAGCATCCTTCATTCCAGGACCTACTTAGGCAGGCTGAAGAAGAGTTTGGCTTTGATCATCCAATGGGTGGTCTTACAATACCATGCAGAGAAGAAATCTTCATTAATCTCACCTGCAATTTGAATTGCGGAGAAAGATGGCAAAAACGCTAGCCCAAAAGGATAGGAGAATGTATTAGCTAGGTCAATTATTTATTGTAAAATCAACATAAAGTTCTGCATATTTTCTGGAATTATTTTGGGAGTTGAATTTCTTCATGTACATGTTCTTTATGTTTTTTTTTTTAATTTTATTTTATGAAAAAGCTTTTTAAATACTCATTAATCTACAGTTCCTCATATTATCTATTTAGTATCAGTAACCAAAGCAAATCTTTAATGACAATTCACTCTGCGAAAGTTAAGATGAATCAATGTTAAGAATGTGTTGTAAACATGGTGAATAATTTGTTACTACCCCTTTTGGTCTTCCCAAATCACCCATCGCGTCAAGATAATTTACTCAATAAGAGGCATCATGAGTCCTTTATTTACCCAATTTTCTTTTGAAGGATTAGGTTTGCTGAAGGCAATGAACAAAAATACTTGGTCCTTTCAGTAAACATCTGAAAAATGCTAATCATTCAGTGTAAAATTTGGCATATCAGCACACTCTGCATCAAAAAAGTATCCTCTGAATTAGTTATGCTTCTTTACTGCAACTGAGATTGATCTGTCATTTCCTAGAAGTTATCTCATTCCTTAAAAATAGCATTTTGGTACAATTCACATGGACTTCATGAGGTTTGTCTTCCAAGTGAATGTATTTTTCAGTTCAAATTGTACCTAAAATGTCACCTCCTTTTTCTTTTTTTACTATCCCCTTTAGTCCACACAAATCACCCACGGCATCAGTCCTTCATTTACCCAAATTTTCTTTTGTAGGATTAAGTTTGCTGAATGCGATGAACAAATACTTGGTCCTTTCAGTTAAAATCTGAAAATTTGGCGTATATGCACCCTGTGTTAGCATGGATCAATCTTCTGAAGTAGTTACTGCAACTGAGAGTGATCAGTCATTTCCTAGAAGTTATCTCATTCCTTCAAATAACATTGTGGTTAGTTCAAACTAGTGAACACTTGTAGGTCACAATTCACATGAAGGTCACGAGGTTTGTCTTGCAAGCGGATGAATTTTTCGGTTCAGGCCATGCTATAAGTGTAGATCTTTAGCTGTAACACACCTTTTGATTCTGTACTTTAATGATTTATACATAAAGTTAATACCAAATCAGAATTGTTTGGGTTGGTTGCAGGAACCCCATCAGTCCAGTTCAATGCTTCTAACTACCACTATTGATTGGCATGATGAGGAAAAAGTATTGCTCAGATTTTTAATTTTTTTTTTATGTTTTTCAAAGTGTTTCTGCAGATGCTAATTTCACTTAATGCTTAAACTACATGTTATGTCAGGGATTATATACAAAATGTCATACTAAATGAGAAGAATTAGGTGTTAAGCATGTCTTTGATCGTACAGGTAAGATATTACTGTGCTTAAAATCAACAGGAGGCTAACCACTACCCTTATCTCTTTAATTCAAGGAGGGATCTCCGTAGGCCATGCTATCACAAGTGGTAGCCTGGTAGGGCATGATGTTCTTCAACAAATATACATTACAAAGTCTTTATGATAGAAAGTATTGACGATGTGTGACTCGAGACGTACAATCCCATGTGATCCTTCATGTTCTAAAATATTATCTTCATAGAAAAAAATCTTGGTTGGAGTCTATGCGTATCAACAGATTTATTTACAGTCTCACATTTGTAGTAAATGGTATCTTTTCATCCACAAGTGTATACTTTTATTTTGCTTAATTTTAAGGTCTTCAATGATGATCATTTGATTATGCAACTCAATGGTCCATAGTTCTACATTTCAGCCATTAAGACCTTTCTTAGATATAATGAGATAGTTGATCTGTAATTCACATTTCCATACAAAATGAAATACTTTGATTGAATATGAAAAACTTCTTCTCAAATGTGTTACAATTATAAGCATCGCAGAACATCACATGCCAAGGTATTTTCATGCATGCTTCTAGTCAACCTATAATCCTCAGTATTAATATTAACAGGCTCATTTGGTCACCAACACTTGTATGCAAAAAGGAACAACATCACATGATCTGCTAAATTGGACCAACTAGTGTTCAGAAGTGTCATAGTACAGGTAGTACTGGTGACCTTTGTGGCTTTGTGTTTATTTGACCATGAGTTTCAACAAATTTGAGACACAGCTACTAATATAGTTTGCTTAATGAATTAATGAGATTTATTTTGTGTTATACCTTACTCTTAAGTCTTCAAACCAAATGATATATTGGATATACATCATAATCAAGAAGCCCCACACACACAAATTTTTAGTAGGGCTGCAGTATTGGCACTTATGAAGTGGTAATCCATGAGACCATAACCATGTGATAACAATGTGCTACCTCATGGCACATGTCTTTCAATATTGTGCCACAGTGAAGTAATTTATTCAGTACTCACTCCATATCAGAATGCTTATATATATGTCATAACATTAGTAATCCACCATCAGAGCTTCTCTTGTTTTGTACAAGCCCTAGAGATCAACTACTTGCAGATACTCTTCCTAGAAAAACAGTTCATAAATATCATGGGTATCCGCTTGCCAGGAATTGTTCATGCTAAGCAAGCTATTAGAAGGGTTCTCTCATCTCCAGCAGCTACAGATGTGCCCAAGGGCCACTTTGCCATTTATGTTGGAGAAACTGAAAAGAAGCGATTTGTTGTTCCGATTTCATGTTTGAAGCACCCTTCATTCCAGAACCTGCTAAACCAGGCTGAAGAGGAGTTTGGGTTTGATCATCCAATGGGTGATCTTACAATACCATGCAATGAAGAAACCTTCATTGATCTGACCTGCAGTTTGAGTTTCTCATAAGCAAGAAGAAAGATGCCAAAATGATGATTCACCAAATAGGAACAATCTTACACCATTGACTCAATAACAAACCTTTTGAAATAGGAGAGTAAATGAGTTTGGTTCTTGGTAAAGCCAATGTAAAGTCATGTACTATTATTTTTCCCCTTGAATCATTCCGGGATTCGAATGTTTTTGTGTCAATTGAATAACATGACATTTTTTGGGGTTATTATTAATGGAATAGCTCTTTCAATAAACATGCTATTAATGAATAGTCCCTTAATGTTATCTATTTGGTACCATCAATATGAATATGCACTGGAACTTTAGTTACTTTATAAGTTAAAATGAACCAGTCATAAGAAGTGATATTAAGCTGGTGATCACTTCATTACTCTGCCTTTGGTCCAATCAAACCAATCATGCCTTCCAAACTATTTTTTTCAAATAAAAGGCTCAAAATTCATTAGTCCTTCATTTACCCAATTTTGATGAAAGATTCAATTTGCTAAAGGTTTTGTCTGATACAGGGTGCATCCATTTAACATCGAAAAATGCTACTATTCCAGTGTAAAGTTCGGATTGTCTGCTCTCGGCATTAATATGGAACAAGAAACCCCTGAAATGATTATGCTTATACAACCAAGATTGGCCAGTCATTTACTAATCAGTTTAACATACTTTTTCAAAATAGCATTATGGTAAGTTCAATTAGGGTGGGTAGAAATGAGGACTACTTGTAGGTCACAAGTCACATGGACTTCACGGGGTTTTGTCTTTCAAGTTGATGCTTTTTTCGCTTCAGGACATGCTATAATTGTAGATTTCTAGCTGTAACATAACTTTGAATCCTCTAGTTTTCTTGTGTATACACATAGAGATAATATCCAATCAATGCTTGATTGCCTTGCGGTTTGAACTTTGAACCCCAACCTTTACAGCTCAATGTTCTCAACTACCACTTGCCTTTTGATGCTTATTACAACCAAAAAAAGAAAAAGAAGAAAAAAAATGACACGCTTTTATGACTTTTCAAATTTAGTAACTTTTAATTTTATCTCAATTACCGGTTTAAAACTCCAGTCAGAAAAAAAGGACTGTATAGGTTTTATTTTGAGTTTTTCATGGTGTTCCAACTGATACTAATCCCACTTTAATGTTTAAATACATGTTAATGCCTATATATTGTAACGACCCAAATGGATACCAAAATAATAATAAAATTTTATAAAAATTTCGACATGACCTCCGCAGAAAATGTCTCTAAACAACCTGTTGAAATACAAAAAAATAAATACAATGGCCTCACTGGGCCTTAAATCTAACATATCATATCCCAACACAATATACATATATTATATCACATCTCCAAAGTGACTACATACATACAAAATCCCATTCCTCCATCTCATCCAACAAGGAACATCCTTTGGTTACATCAAGTTACAGTCCAAAAAAAACGTAGTGAGAATTTAAAAGTCCATGACTTACAACATTATACTAATTAAACTAAAGTTTTACGAGTTAGTTAATATTACATTTACAAAATATTAGAGAGTTTTAATGCAAAAGATAGTAAAAAAAAATATATATATAAAATAGGTTTCCGTGCTCGTCAAAAATCGTGGTGGATCGTCGTCCGCCACCTCTTTTCCATGTCTTGAAAAATGTTAGAAATAATGGGGTGAGCATAAGCTCAGTAGGAAGTGTCTAAGACACACTTCTTATATCTCCGTGAATCCATACAATGAATAGATAAAAAAAGTGAAAGGGATCATGCTATAAGGAAACACACACTCTCAAATACAATAACAAGTATGTAACAAATACCACCCAATCACAAGTTTACCACAATGTCATGAAGTGCAATATGCAAATGTTACTCCCCATTTTCCGAAACATTTCCATTTCAACTTCCAAAATCGTTAGTGTAATCCGACCCAAGGCACCTCCAAGGCGTCACGAATGGAGGGTTGATTAACTATCCACGACCACAAGATACCTCTAAGGCGTCGCATCCGGCCTAGTTAGCTCAACCATGATCACTTTTATAGACTACACTAACACCACGGACCACTAGGCGCCTCCTAGGTGTCCGGTTTTCGCAAACTCCTTTAAAAAAATATTTTCTCCAAAATAATTTCGTTTGTTAAAAAAAAACATTTTTTTTCCCCCTTTCTCTTTCCCAACGAATACATGAATGCGCACGCTTTAATTTATCAATTCAACCATAAGCTTTCATACATTCCATTTACATCATCATCACAATTTAATAGAAATTTATAAGCATTCATTTCTTTTATTTATTTATTTATTTATTGACCATAGCCTCATTTTCTTTCAAAGCAATAAATAAATAAATAAATACATAATCTTAGGACATACAATATGTCAACACCAAACATGCTCAATCACCGTAATAAATCTAGTCATATATATGAATTCAAATAATACATGGAACACATTTAGCATTTTAGTTAAACATGCTTCAACCACAAACTAGATAATCAAAATTAGTATGCTTAGGATCAAATTTAAGGGGCAAAATTCACAAAAAGAGCTAAGAAGTTGTAGATTAGAACACCCCTACCTCAATGGAAGTGAAAACTCCCAAAATCCCCAAATCCAAGCTCGAGAACCCTAGAATTTTGAACTCCCTAGAGTGCACCAAATGATGATTGGCTCCTATCAAATTGAAGGCCTTGACGAGCTTAACAACTTTGCTTCACAATGTTCTACCAAAATCCAAAAGATTAAAACTAGATTAGAGTTTGAAAGTTGCAAAAAGAGAAGAAAAATGAAACTGCCCAGAGGGGAAAGTGATATAGCCGAGAGAGAGAGAGAAGCCCACATTTGTTTAATGGCGTTATGGCCTTTCTGCAATGTTAAAAGCATGGGTGGGGCCCACTTATTTTTTTTTTCTTTTTCTTTTTATAATTATTCTTTTATAACCTAAACACACATTTATATATACATAATAACCCACAACATTACATATATATAAAACAAGTTCATACCTAGAGGAAAAGAAGACTTAAGTGTCCCAAAGCAGGTCTTTGATCATGTGGATCAGGTTATTGGTAGGGCATGATGTTTTTCCCACCTTATTGTTTTTAAATCAGCAGGAGGCTATCCACTATTTTACTCTCTTTAATTTCAAGGGGGTTCCTCTGTATGCTAATAGAAGTGGTAGGGCATTCTGTTTTTCAAGAAATGTACATTTTAGTCTCTATCATTATAAAGTCTAGATGATGAGTTGAAGACTTATCAGTACTTTTGTTGGGAGGCATAACCATGTGATTCCTTATTGCATATGTCCGTCAATGGACCACGTTGAAGAAATTTGATCATTACTCCAATTGAATGCTGACCATATGATATAGTAAGTGCTCTATATATATATGTTCTAACATTAGCTATCCAGTATCCAACTGCCAAAGCTTCTCTTGTTTTGCACAAAGACCTAGAAATCAACTTCTTGCAATTGCTTTTCCAAGAAATCAATTCAGAAAAATCATGGGTATTCGCTTGCCTGGAATTTTTCATGCTAAGCAAGCCATCCGACGCGTTCTCTCAACTCCAGTGGCTAAAGATGTGCCCAAGGGCCACTTCAGTGTTTATGTCGGAGAAACTGAAAAGAAGCGATTTGTTATACCGATTTCATACTTGAAGCATCCTTCATTCCAGAACCTACTAAGCCAGGCTGAGGAAGAGTTCGGGTTTGATCATCCAATGGGTGGTCTTACAATACCATGCAGAGAAGAAACTTTCATTGATCTCACTTGCAGTTTGAATTCATCATAAGCAAGAAGAAAGATGCCAAAATGATGGCTTACCAAATAGGATCAATCTAACACCATTGACTCAATAACCAACCTCTCCAATTTTGAATTATGAGAGTAAATGAGTTTGTTTATTGTAAAACCAATGTAAAGCCCTGTATTATTATTTTTTTCTTGAATAGCTTGACATTTTTTGGGGTTTTTATTAATGGAATAGGTCTTTCAATAAACATACTATTAATACATATGCCCTTTTAATGTTATACATTTGGTTTCATCAATATGATTATGCACTAGCACTTTAGTTGCCAAATGCCAAATCCTTAATGATGATTCACTCTGCGATTACCTTATAAGTTAAAATGAACCAATCACAAGATGGTGATGTTAAGCTGGTGATCACTTCATTACTCTGCCTTTAGTCCTCCCAATCCATTCATCCATTCAAACTAATTTTCCAAATAAAATGCTCAAAATTCCATTAGTCCTTCATTTACCCAATTTTTAATATCTAAAAATACTGCTAGTCCAGTGTAAATTAGTATGGAACAAGAAACCCCTGAAATGATTATGCTGATACAACCAAGACTGATCAGTCATTTGCTAAACAGTTTAACACATTCCTTGAAAAATAGCATTATGGTAAAGTTCAAATGGGGTGGGTAGAAATGAGGACAACTTGTAGGTCACAAGTCACATGGACTTCACGGGGTTTTGCCTTGCAAGTTGAAGTTTTTTTGTGCTTCAGGACATGCTATAATTGTGGATTTCTAGCTGTAACTTTGAATTCTCTAGTTTTCTAGTGTATACATAGAGCTAATATCAAATCAATGCTTGATTGGATTTCTGTTTGAACTTTGAACCCATCCTTCCAGCTCAATGTTCCTAACCACCACTCGCCTTTTGATGCTTATTACAAAAAATAAAATAAAATAAAAGCCCTGCTCTTTTGAGTTTTCAACTACTGGTTTAATAAAAATTCAAATGTAGATACAATTTGAAGTCATACTAATCCCACCTTAGTGTTTAAAATACATGCCGGTGACTATTATGTAACAAGTTCATACCAAGAAGAAAAGAAGACTTAATGTCTCAGAGCAAGTCTTTGATAATGTGGATCAGGTTATTTGGTAGGGCATGATGTTTTTCCCACCTTATTGTTTTTAGTGGTCCTCTTTGTACCAATAGAAGTGGTAGGGCATGATGTTTTTCAGCAAATATAAATTTTAGTGTCTATCATTATAAAGTCTAGATGATGAGTTGAAGAGTCAAAAAAATAGGTCTATTATCAGTACCTTTTTTGGAAGGCATAACCATGTGATACCTCATTGCATTTGTCCTTCAATGGACCTCATTTCTCCATTTGAATGCTGACCATATGATATAGGAAGTGCTCTCTGTATCTATATATATCTGTTCTAAGTTTAGCTATTTAGTATCCACTGCCAAAGCTTCTTTTGTTTTGCACAATTCATAGAAAAAAATTATTTGAAATTACTTTTCCAAGAACAGAAATTCAGTAAAATCATGGGAATTCGCTTGCCGGTTCATGCAAAGCGAGCTTTCCAATGGATTCTTTCAGCTCCAATGGCTACAGATGTGCCCAAAGGACACTTTGCTGTTTATGTTGGAGAAGCTGAAAAGAAGAGATTTGTTGTTCCGATTTCGTATTTGAAGCACCCTTCATTTCAGAACCTACTAAGCCAGGCAGAAGAGGAGTTTGGTTTTGATCATCGGATGGGTGGTCTTACAATACCATGCAGAGAAGAAACCTTCATTGATTTCACTTTGCAGTTTGAATTGCTCCTAGAAAATATAGTTCACATGATAGGAAGATACTAATACCATTGACCCAAAAGCCTCCCTCCAATTTTGAAATAGGAGAAACACTTAGTTGTTTCTTGTAAAATCAATGTAAAGATGTATTATTTATTCTTGAAATATATGGGGATTTGAATCTTTTCATATGTAATTGTTTAGCTTGACAATTTCCTTTTAGTTATTTTTATTTCTATTTTTATTTTTTGTGTTAAAATCAATATAACTGGGTGTGTAAACTTTTTGCAAAGGAAAGAAGAAAAAAGAAAAAATCAAATTAATTTATAAATAAAAGCACAAAATTCAAGATTCCTTTATTAGCCTAATTTTTCTAAAAAATTAGATTGCTAAAGTATCTGGATACTACAGGATCCTTTTTTGGCTAATATTTGAGAAATTATCTGTACACTGAAAAGTATCCGTAATGCTTTTGTTTTTTTACCTCATTTTTGCATCATTTAAAAATCTGGTATTTCTAGCCATGTAAGAGCAGCGACTCCATCAGTGGGTTTTTTTTGGGCAAAAGAGGCCCAAATTTTGAAGATGCAATGCTCCAATGGGAAAAGTGAGTCCCATAAAGAGGCTCTTGGTCCAAGTCTCCAAAAACAAAGAGCCTATTGGCGATTTGCGGCCTGTCATGCGGGCCCGCATCAAATTTTTTTTTCTAAATTTGGATCCAAACAGTGTTTTAGCTCGTAACACTGTTTGGTAAGGCATGTTTGGCCGAAAAAGAAAGGAAAAAATTAATTTTTTTGGCTGATTTTGGTTTTTTTTTTTTTTCCTCAAAATAATTGAACCAAAGAGCTGTCAAGGCACTGTTTGGCTAACACAAATAGTGCCTTAAAGGCTTTTTTGGACAAAAAAAGTCAAAAAAAAATTAGATTAAAGTGTTTTTTTTTTATTATTTTAAATTTGCTTTTTAAAATATTCCTACTGACATATAACCGTTTTAGGTACTATTTGGCTTACCCAAACAGTGCCTTAACGGCTATATTGACACAAAAACTTATTTTTTGAATTTTTTTTTTAAAAAATAATTATATACATATTTATTTATTTTTAAAAAACCTTTTATTGTTTATATAACATGAAAAATATAACCGCTAGAAATATAGTTGTTAGGAAAAAGTTAAAAAATAAATTTTATTTTAAATTTTAAAAATATTAAAATATTAATATTTTTGGAGGGTAAAAATGCACCATTAGAGTATATCCGATAATTAAAATTTAAAAATTCTAATATGCTGATGTGATTATGAAAAATGTTGACGTGATTATAAAAAAAATGCGGAAGTGACAAATTCTTTAAATTCGGAAAGTCCATTGGTGTAGCCCTAAAAATATTGATAGATTATTGAATGTAATGAACAGAAAAAACGCAGTAATATTTAAAAGCTTTTTTATGTCTCAACCACAGGTGTAGTTTACAACTGTATAAGTACCACCACTGCTTTCATTCAAACTCCAGTTGTTTTTTCAATGAGATTAGGGTTTTGGGTTTGCTCATCCAACACCAGTATTCATTCCAGGAGTTGCTGAGCCAAGCTAGGAATATGGGTTTGATCATCCAATGGGCGGTGTCACATGTTTTTTTTTCTTCCAGAAGGTACATCTTCATTAATCTCACTTCTCTCTTCAATGAATTATGAGATTGGGACCCTAAAATAACGCATTTTGTGGAACAGTGACCACCAATTCTTTCAATGTACAATCTTTGGCTTTTTTCTCTCACATTTATCTTATTTAAAGGCAAAAGCGTCATTCAGTTGAATTTTAATTTTTGTACATTATATATTAGTTCATTTTTTTCTCTCATTCATTACTTTGGCATTATCTGTTCCTTAACAAAACCATGTTGAAAACAATTTTTTGCTTAAATTCGAGTCTTCTCTCTAAACTTAATACAAATACATGCATTCACATGCATATATTAATGGACATTTGTTGGAGTATAAGAATAACCAATTTGTGTATACTTGTCTGCTCGTACATCGATTCACCAACACCAAATACATCCTCAGCAACCACCTTTAAACCCATAAACTCTTAACTGAGTTATTTCAAGAACTGCATGACCCTTCAATTGAAGGATGGACTAAGTGCATAGTAAATTTTGTCATTAATTGCATGAAGAAACAACCCCAGAACACAAAGTCTCATACTCATGTTATCTTGCTTGGCAACTCTAGCTTTTCTGAGAGCATCAAAAATGCATCCAAAGTGTTTGATGATATTCCAATGTTGAGCACTGTTTGAAAATGCAGTCTTTTTGGGTTGTGCAGAGGCTAAGCTTGGGCTAAGTTTTTTACACCGCGTAATAGTAACTCTGCTTGATGACTGCACAATCTATGCCTCTAAATTGGCTCCAGAAATTCATTCCAAGAGTTGCTGAGCCAAGCTAAGAATATGGGTTTGTCACAATTTTTTTTCTTTTTCTCAGAAGGTACATCTTCATTAATCCCACTTCTCTCTCCAATGAATTATGAGATTGGGACCCTAAAATAACACATTTTTTGGAACAGTGACTACCAATTCTTTCAATGTACAATCTTTGGTTTTTTCTCCCACATTTATCTAATTTAAAAGCAAAAGGTCACTCAGTTGATTTTGAATTTCTATAGATTACATATTAGTTTATTTTTTCTCTCATTCATTACTTTGGGCATTATATGTTCCTCAACCAAATCATGTTGACAACAAATTTTTTGCTTAAATTGGAGTCTTCTCTTAACTTAATACAAATACATGCATTCTCATGTATATATTAATGCACATGTGTTGGAGTATGAGAGTAACCAATTTGTGTATACTTGTCTGCTCGTACATCGATTCACCAACACCAAAGACTTCCTCAGCAATCACCTTTAAACCCATAAACCCTAAACTGGGTTTTTCAAGTACTGCATGACCCTTCAATTGAAGAATGGACTAAGTGCATAGTAAATTTTGTCATTAATTGCAGAAAGCAAGGACCCTCGAACTTAAACTCATGTTCTCTTGCTTGGCAACTCTAGCTTTTCTGGGAGTATAAGAAATGCATCCAAAGCATTTGATGAAATTCCAATGTTGAACACTGTCTGCAAATGCAGAGTCTTTTTGGGTTATGCATAGGCTAAGCTTGGGATAAGTTTTTTACACCACATAATAGTAACTCTGCTTGTATGCAGTGCACAATCTATGCCTTTAATTTGGCTCCAGAAATTCAGGCCACCCTAAACGGTCGTAAAAGTTCGGTTATTTTCTGGGCATTGTTTGAACAAAGTGGCTATTCTCATGATTTGAAACCGTCTTCTCAAGCTTGACAGTCCAGGGTATTATGTCTTTATGCAGATATTACTGTATGAGATCTATGCAGAGAGTGACTGGATAGAGAAGCCTTCATACTTGTCAAGTTTTGTTTGCATCAAGCAAGGAGGAGAGAGAATTTTCATTTGGTTTTGTTGACCTTAACCAGTTCATATGGTGGAAACATCTATTTTAAAGAAATACTTGGCAAACCCTTGACATGGATCAAACAGACGAGGTGCTTCCACAGATCTCATCCATGCATCATGTTACCACGACCTAAGTCGCACAACTCTTCTAAATTGGTGCCGCTCTCACGCTCCACACGTGCTCCCGCTCTCATGTTCCGGGCGTGCACTTGCTCTTGTCCGCACTATGTGTGACTAAAATGTTGTCACTTTCGCACTTCGCTCTCGCATTAGCTTTGTGCAACTTAGGCTATGACCAGGTGAGAATCTTGAACTAGAATAATATATACAGCCACTTTATGACTGCTTAGTATTTGCATTTACAATTCTTGGATTTTATCTTTTTATGATCTTTTTCTTCTCAAAATGTTTATAAAATATGACTTATATTATGCCAGAAGAGTGGAAGCATCTTGTGTTTATTTATTTTTGGTAAGTCTCCTGACTGGACTCGAAGTTTTCTGTCCTCGCACATATGACCTCATTTGTTAGTCTTAAGGATATCATCTTGTTGGGCTCAATGGGATAGATGACATGTTCCTAAAGGCCCACTTTGCGATTTAAGTAGAAGAAACCCAGAAGAAATAGTTTGTAGTTCCAATAAAATACTTTGAAGGAATAGTCACTCAAATACTGAGTCAGGCTGATGAAGACTTTGGTTCAATCGAGTGGATGATCTAAGAAAAATTAATCCATTATTACTTGAATGACTCACAGAAAAGAAGCAAACACATTTGAACTGGGCTTCATGAGGATTATGAATCTCTAGCAGGACATATTTCAAGTGGGCTTCATAAGGATTTTCCTGGGCTGTTGGTGTCAGAGTACTTTTGATAATTGATACACTAGATTTTCCGTTTGTATTTTATTTTTTCCTTTATCGTCCTTAATTCATTATTTTTCGTGTTTGTTGCATTTCAACATGTCAACTATTACTCCGTGGTTCTGAGATTTGGCATGCTTACATATGTTATCAGTTCAATTGAATTTTCATGTCCAATACCCTGATCATATGCCCAAAGTTTGGATGAGATACATGTGCTAACATTAGTCTCTTTTAGGCGGAAAAGAGTTTAGTAATTTTTCTTGCCATGTTGTTTCTAGTCTTTTGAAGAGCCACTTGATTATCTCTTATCAAGAGAAAGCAATAAAGCCGAAAAAATGTCACTTGAAAAGATTTGGTGAGCTGAAACAAGTTTTAAAGTTCATTGCCCCTGTACAGAGATGATTAATTGGAAGTTTTTTTTGGAAATGGGAACATCATACATGAACTCCTGCAGTTCTTATAGTCAAAACCTGATACCTTAAAATACATAGGCTCTCAGTGTGTTAAATCAGAAAACTTGAGAAATTTGCCATACAATACTGAATGACCCATAAGTATCTCAAAGAGGTTCCTTGGGAGCATTTGTTTCGTTTCAAGCCAATGCAGCTACTAAATTGCTGTCTGAAGATATAGGGCTTCCTGCACTCAAATTTTCATCTTCCTATTGGTTTTTTTAGTAGTTGTTATTGATACGATCTCTCTCAAATAGTAATAGATTCTTGTTTGGTCTCAATGCCCTCTACACTGCTATTTTATATTAAATATGGCTAGTGTTCTGATAATTTTGGATCAAATATTCATGAAAGTACAACATTATCTACCTTGCTGGTCTAAGGATTATATAGTCAACCTATTATCCCTCTGAATTAAGAGCCAAGCTTATGGGGCCTCACTTTTTTAATTTTTTTTTCAGTTTTATGTGTCAAGTAACATTGCCACATGAGCAAGTAACTTGTCTGATCTCATATTTGTTGTGTCATGACACATGTAATACTGTTTATATTTGATCCAAATGGTCCATTGGATATATGTTATAATCAGTAGGCCATGAAAATATACTTTCCACTGGACCTCCATTGTTTGTTCTGTTATAGTGGTCTGGCTAACAAGTTATCTGATATGTACTACAGCACGGAAATATCACATTCTTAGTATTTGTGTTGGGAGGCATAACCATGTGATTCCTCATTGCATAAGTATTTTGTTGACCACACTGTTTTAGTCGTCACCACTCATTCAATATGAGAATGCTGGCCATAGAGCATCTGCTCTAAGGGTCCTGTGTAGGTTGTTGCAAGCAGTGGTAGGGCATGATGTTTTATAAAAAAAAAGTACATTTTACTCCCTCTCCGAATTCTTGATGGTGAGTTGGAAGACAAAACCATGTGATCCTTCATCTGTAACAACACAACCTAAATATTTCTTGACCACTCATTCTACATTTCAAAGGATTTCTTACATGCGCTTGTACCTATATATACACACACATATTAGTGAGTCTACAACCAACACAACTCTTTATCATTTTTCACTCTCAAAGCATTCATTTGTTTTGCAAACTCTTTGTGATCTTTGTCTCTTTTCTTGTTCATACAACATAATGGGTTTCCGCATGCCTCGTATTATTAATGCTAAGCAAATTCTCCGCATGCCTTTTCTGGCAGCAGACCAAGCAACTTCAACAGCTCTAAATGTCCCGAAAGGCTATTTTGCAGTTTATGTTGGAGAGAGTGAAAAGAAACGATTCGTGGTTCCCATATCATACTTGAACCAGCCTTCATTTCAGGACTTGTTAAGTCAAGCTGAGGAAGAATTTGGTTTTGACCATCCAATGGGTGGTCTCACAATTCCCTGCAAAGAGGACATCTTCATTGATATCACTTCTCAGTTGAGCAGATCATGAGACAATTCTATGCATATAGACACAATTTTGTAAAGCAGTAGTCATCATTTCCATATACAAATTTTAACTTTGTACCCATTTTAGATAGGAGATAGGGGATGGAAGAAAGTGTCCCCATGTTTCAAAATATTATATAGTATAGATCGTGTTGTTCTCAGACAACTTCAAAAGCAAATACATTGTTTCATTGAAATCTTTGTTTCTATAGATTTTATAACTACTTTTGGGTACATTTTTTTTATTTATTTCCTAATATAATTTTGTAATTGCATTAATCAGAAAATTCACTGAAAAATAGGGGGAAGTTTATACTTTCAGTGCAATAGGGTGTTGAGATGTCCTCATTTCAACTAAACCTTAGCAGCTTAGCTTAATTTTCACACTGGTCTAGAGAATAACAATCAAAATGTTAAGTAACTGTTTTAAAGCTCACCTCCCGAACATGTACCACTAATATTAGTTTTGCATAGACAATAAAATTAGACTTATGACATTTTCAATTGGCTAAAGCCAAATTTTAATGACGATTAATAATGACATGCTAACTTGATGATCTCTGTATTGTGTCCTTCTTTAGTCCTTTTAATTCACCCTTTGTTCAGATTAATTAACCAAGGAAAAAGTGCAAAAATCATCAGTCATTTATCTTCCTTCTCTATTTGTTTCTGAAGTTCTGGGCAAGAACTAGATCAATTTGGCTAAGATCTGAAAGATGCTGGTCGTTAGGACCTGCAAATTTGGAGTATCTACAGTAATATGGAACGAGAATCCCCTGAAATGGCTACACTTCTTTCAAATAATCACAAATGAGATCAGTCCATTTTTTTTTAGCTGTTTTCACATTTCTCAGAAGAATTTTGGATAAAGTTCAAATGGAATGGCTAGTGATGAGTAGGTCATATTAGTTTCCATGTCTCCATCTGTATATATGCATATGTTACTGGAAGAGAACCATAAACTGCTGCCAGATCTCCATTTGAGCAGAAACTTTTTACTGAGTTTAATTGATATATTTACCAAAAAAAAAAAAAGAGTTTAATTGAAACAAAATATATTTGCTCATAGAATGAAACAAAAAGGATGCTCACCAAAGTTGATATAAATCTATAGAAACAAAGATTTTGAAGAAATAATGTATTTGCTTTTGAAATTGTCTGAGAACAGCATGATCTCTACTCTATAATTTTTGAAACAATGGACCATTTATTTATTTTTCATCCCCAATATCCTCTCTGAAAATCAAAGGTACAAAATTGATATTTGTACATGGAAGTGATAACTACTGCTTTACAAAATTGTGTCTATATGCATAGAATCTTCTCATGATCTGCTGAACTGAGAAGCGATATCAATGAAGATGTCCTCTCTGCAGGGAATTGTGAGACCACCCATTGGATGGTCAAAACCAAATTCTTCCTCAGCTTGACTTAGTAAGTCCTGGAATGAAGGCTGGTTCAAGTATGATATTGGTACCACAAATCGCTTCTTTTCACTCTCTCCCACATAAACTGCAAAATAGCCTTTTGGGACATTAAGAGCTGTTGAAGCTGCTTGGTCAGCTGCAAAAGAAGGCATCCGAAGAATTTGCTTAGCATTGATAATACGAGGCATGCGGAAACCCATTATGTTGTATGAATATATCTCTCTCTGACAAACTAGAAAAGAAACAAAGATCAGGAGGAGTCTGCAGAACAAATGAAAGCTTTGAGAGTGAAGAATGATACGACTTGTGCTGGTTGTAGACTGACTAATATGTGTGTATATATAGATAAAAGGGTATGCAAGAAATCTTCTGAAATGTAGAATGAGTGGTCAAGAAAGATTTAGGTGGGGGGTGAAAGATGATCACATGGTTTTGTCTTCCAACTCATCATCAAGAATTCATAGAGATAAGAGTAAATGTATTTTTTGCCGAAAAACACCATGCCCTACCACTGCTTGCAACAACCTACAAAGGACCCTTAGAGCAGATGTTCTAAGGCCAGCATTCTCAATATCAAACGAGTGGTGAAGAGGAAGAAGAAGCACAGTGGGGCATTGAGACCAAACAAGATTCTATTATTAATTGAAAGATATCATGCCTATAATTACTCTTAAGAAAGTCAAAAGGAAGATTTATAATTTTGAGTGCAGGAACCCCAAGTCTTCAGTCAAAGCAATTATGTAGTAGCTGCATTGTGGCTTGAAATGAAAGAAATGCTTCCAAGAAACCTCGTTGACATACTTGTGGGAAATTGAACTGTAATGAACATGGGAACATATGAATCCAAAGTCATGCTAAAGATGTAGGCATGGAAACTAATATGACCTACTCAGGCTACTCATCAGGAGCCATTCCATCTAAACTTGATCCAAAATTCTTGTGAGAATGTGGTAACAGCTAAAAATAGATGGACCAATCTCATTTGCGATGATTTGAAAGAAGTTCAACCATTTTAGGGATTCCTATTGATACTACAACTTTGTAAGACCCAATGACCAGCATCTTTCAGAAACAAAAAGAGCAGGGTGCATTAAGAGGACTAAAGAGGGACAATATAAAGAGATCATTAAGTTAGCACGTCATTGTTAATCGTCATTAAAATTTGGCTTTTGGCAATTATAAATGAAATAGTCTAATTATATTGCATTTGCAAAATTAATAATATTAGTGGTACATGTTAAGAAGGTGAGCTTTAAACCATTATTGACAAATATATCAGTTTAACAGTATTGCTGTATTGCTCACGCCCCTGCTGCTGGGGACTTGCAGAGGTTCCTAAATAGATTCACATACATGGACTAAGTTTCTGTCTGACGATTTAGGGCTTCCTGCACTCAAATTTTCATCTTCCTATTGGTTTTTTAATTTGTAGTTATTGATACTATCTCTCTCAAGTAGTACTAGATTTTTGTTTGGTCTCAATGCTCCACTACACTGCTATTTTATATATAAAAAATGGCTGATATTCTGATAATTTTGGATCAAATATTCATGAAAGTACAACATTATCTGCCTGGCTGGTCTAGGGATTATATAGTCAACCTATCATCCCTCTGAATTAAGGGTCAAGCTTACAGCCTCACTTTTCTTTTCTTTTTTCATTTGTATGTGTCAAGTAACATTGTCACATGAGCAACTAACTTGTCTGATCCCATATATTTTGTCATGGCCGGTCTACGGATTAATACTGTTAATATTTAATCCAAATGGTCTATTGGATATATCGTATAATCAGTAGGCGACGAAGATATAATTTTCCACTGGACCTCCATTATTTGTTCTGTTATAGTGGTCTGGCTACAAATCATCTAAGATGTAATACAGCACGAAAATATCACATTCTTAGTATTTTTGTTGGGAAGCATAACCATGTGATTCCTCATCACATAAGTGTTTTGTGGACCACACTGCTTTAGTCTTCACCACTCATTCAATATGAGAATGCTGGCCATAGAGCATCTGCTCTAAGGGTCTTCTGTACGTTGTTGCAAGCAGTGGTAGGGCATGATGTTTTACAACAAAAGTACATTTTACTCGATCACCGAATTCTTGATGATGTGTTGGAAGACAAAACCATGTGATCCTTCATCTGTAACACCACCCCCTAAATCTCTCTTGACCACTCATTCTACATTTCAAAGGATTTCTTACATGCCCTTTTATCTATATATACACACACATATTAGTCAGTCTACAACCAACACAACTCTTATCATTCTTCACTCAAGCATTCTTTTGTTTTACAAACTCTTTGTGATATTTGTCTCTTTTCTTGTTCATTCAACACAATGGGTTTCCGCATGCCTCGTATTATTAATGCTAAGCAAATTCTCCGCATGCCTTTTTCGGCAGTAGACCAAGCAGCTTCAACAACTCTAAATGTCCCGAAAGGCTATTTTGCAGTTTATGTTGGGGAGAGGGAAAAGAAGCGATTCGTAGTTCCCATATCATACTTGAACCAGCCTTCATTTCAAGACTTGTTAAGTCAAGCTGAGGAAGAATTTGGTTTTGACCATCCAATGGGTGGTCTCACAATTCCCTGCAAAGAGGACATCTTCATTGATATCACTTCTCAGTTGAGCAGATCATGAGACAATTCTATGCATAAAGACACAATTTTGTAAATCAGTAGTCCATTTCCATTGACAAATTTGTATCTTTTTTGTAGAGAGGAGATTGGGGATGGAAGAAAATGTCCCTGTTTCAAAATATTATAAAGTAGAGATCATGCTGTTCTCAGACAATTTCAAAAGCGAACATTATTTCATTGAAATCTTTGTTTCTATAGATTTTATAACTACTTTTGGATAATTTTTGTTTTAAATTTATTTCCTAATATAATTTTTTAATTGCATTAATTAAGAAAATAACTGAAAAAGAGGGGGAAAGTTATAATTTCAGCGCAATAGGGTATTGAGATGTCCTCATCTCAACTAAACCTTAGCTTAATTTTCACACTGGTCTAGAGAATAACAGTCAAAACTGATATATTTGTGAAGTAACTGTTTTAAAGCTCACCCCCTGAACACCACCAATATGAGTTTTGCATAGACAATAAAATTAAACTATGAAATTTTCAATTGCCAAAAGCCAAATTTTAATGAAGATTAACAATGACATATTGACATGCTAACTTGATCTCTTCTTTAGTCCTCTTAATTCACCCTTCCTTCAGACTAATTAACTAAGGAAAATTGCAAAAATCCTAACTCATTCATCTTACTGCTCTTTTTGTTTCTGAAAAGTTCTGGGCAAGAACTAGGTCAATTTGACTAAGATCTGAAAGATGCTGGGCATTCGGTCCTTCAAATTTGGAGTTTCTATAGTAATATGGAACAAGAATCCCCTGAAATGGTTAAACTTCTTTCAAATCATCACAAATGAGACCAGTCCATGTATTATTAGTTGTTTATCACATCTCTCAGAAGAATTTTTTATTAAGCTCAAATGGAATGACTAGTGATGAGTAGGTCATATTTATTTCTATACCTCCATCTGTAGCATTACTTTGGATTCATATGTTCCCATGTTCATTACAGTTCAATTTCCCACAAGTATGTCAACGAGGTTCCTCGGAACTTGGGGTTCCTGCAGTCAAAATTTTCATCTTCCTTATGATTTCTTGAGATAAATTAGACATGATTTATTTCAATTGGTTATAGTCTTGTTTGGTTTCAATGCCCCACTACGCTACTACTTTATATGAAGTTATGACAGAACACTTCATCTGCCTGGCCGGTCAATGGATTCTAGTCAATCTATCATCCCTCTGAATTTAGGGCCAAGCTTACAGCATCACTTTCTTCCTCTTCTTCTTCTTCTTCTTCTTCTTCTTCCTCTCTCTCTCTCTCTCTCTCTATATATATATATATATATATATATATATATATATATATATATATAATTTATGTCTGAAGTAGCGATGTCACATGAGCGGCTAACTTGTCTGATCCCTTATCTTTGTAAAATGTTATCTGCATATCAGACCCTGTTGTTTAATATTTGATCCATTTGGTCTAGTGGATATATGTTATAATCAGTAGGCCGGGAATATATAATTACCAGTGGACCTTCATTGTTTGTTCTGCTATAGTGACCTGGCTAACAATTTATTCAAGATGTATTACAGCACGACAATGTCACATTCTTACTATTTTTGTTGGGAGGCATGACCATGTGATACCACATCCCATATGTATTTTGTGGACCAACTGCACTAATCTCCTCACCACTCATTTGATATTGAGTATGCTGGTCCTCTGTAGGTTGTTGCAAGCTGTGGTAGGGCATGATGTTTTTCAACAGAATTGCATTTTTTTCTCTATCACTATGAATTCTTGTTGATCAGTTGGAAGACAAATCCATGTGATCCTTCATCAATCACAACACCACATGAATCTTCCTTGACCACTCATTCTACATTTCAGAGAATTTCTTACATGTCCTTTTATCTATATATACGCACACATCAGTCATTCTACAACCAACACAAGTTTTATCTTTCTTCACACAAAGCTTTTCATTTGTTCTGCAAACTCTTTGTGATCTTTGTTTCTTTTCCAGTTCATACAACATAATGGGCTTCCGCATGCCTCGTATTATTAGTGCTAAGCAAATTCTTCGGATGACTTCTTTGGCAGCAGACCAAGCAGCTTCAACAGCTCTAAATGTCCCAAAAGGCTATGTTGCAGTCTATGTTGGAGAGAGTGAAAAGAAGCGATTTGTGGTCCCAATATCATACTTAAACCAACCTTCATTCCAGGACCTACTAAGTCAAGCCGAGGAAGAATTTGGGTTTGATCATCCAATGGGCGGTCTTACAATTCCCTGCAGAGAGGACATCTTTATCAACCTGACTTCTCAATTGAGCATATCTTGAGATTGGATGCTATGTACATATGTTACTAAACACAATTTTGTAAAGCAGGAGTCACCAATTTCATGCACAATTTCAATCTTGTTTTTTTATTTTCACAGGAGAGGTTTGGGATGGAAGAAAAAATTCTCCCAATTTCAAAATATTATATATATATATTCATTGAAATCTTTGTTTATGTCCATCTTTTTTCTTTTATTCAATTAGCACACAGATCTTTTCCATAAACTATGCTGGCAAGAATTTTTTGCAGCAGTATGGTCCTCTTCTCTCTCTTTTTTCGGTTAATACGGTTCTTGTCCCTTGATATATACATATATCATATATGCTTGTAAGCATACATATAATTGAGCAAAGTCTGTATGCATTACACATGATTCAATTGTAATTGCATTAATCAGGAACATCACAAAAAAAGAGGGGAAAAGTTATAATTTCAGGGCAATGGGGTTCTGAGAGGTCCTCATCTCAACCAAACCTTACCCTATTTGAACACTGGTCTAGACTCTAGCGGATTGCAGTTGAAACTTGAAACTGATATATTTGTGAAGTAACTGTTTTAAAGCTTACCTGAGCATGTACCACTAATTAGTTTTGCATAGACTGTTATTTTCAGTAGAGCTGATTTAGGTATCTTCCATATTTATTGTTAGTAATTCTTTCGATTATAAATATTTCTCTCTTCAACCTTTAGGCCCAGTTTGGTTGGAAGGTATTGGAAGGAAAGAAAAGAAAGGTAATGGAGGGAAATCAAATATTGTGTTTGGTGTGAATTTTTAAAGGAAATGAAGGGATTAGGAAGGAAACAAATTATAGATGATGTGTTGGTTTTGTTATCTTCTAAAAATGAGAGTAAATGGAAGGAGACGAAAGGAAATGCTAGTTTTTTTTGTATAATAAAATTTTGTTAATACTAAATTTATCCTTATTTTTATAGAAAATAAAAGTTATAAAAAGAAACTTTCCTTTCTTTTTTTATTTCCTTTAAAAATCAACCAAACACAATAAGTGATTAATTATATTCTCTCATTCTTTTTCTTTTCTTTTATCTCTAAACTAATATTATCATTTCTGATCAATATAATAATGTGATATATTTAAATATTTTACTAGGCTTGACAAATAAAATAATTATTAAAAAGATAAAATTAATAATTATTGTTGTAAAAAGGTAAAATTATTAAAAACCTCCGAAAAATCCAACGGTTATAAGGATGGGTGTAATTTAACTAAAGTTTTCCCAAATTTTGATGTCCCAGCAACAGTTAAAAGTGAAAAATAAAAAACAAAAATCACACTCACACACACACACACACACACACACACACGGTGTACACACCAAAACCCCAAAAAAAACACCCTATAATCCTCTCATCCCTCATTTCTCCTCAATAGCGAAGTTAGGGTTACAAAATTGGGGTTTGAGCCCAACACACAAAAAAAATAAAAATAAAAATAAAAATAAATAAATCAATAAAACCCCAAAACAGGCCCTATAATCCTCTCATCCCGATATCTCGTCAACAGCAAAGTTAGGGTTACAAATTTGGGTTTAAGCGAGGAGTCAAGTAGCGCGAAGTAGAGCAGCGGCCGATTTCACCGGTAAGGCTTTTTGCTGTTTTTTTTGCCCCTTCTCTTTTCTCTCTCTCTCTCTCTCTCTCTCTCTCTTATTATTATTATTATTATTATTTTCCTTCTTTTTGGATCGGCAATACAAACAGATCAGTTTTTTGAGAGAAAGAAGAGAGAGAATCATTATTATCGAGTAAAAACAGATCAGTTACGCACGCTGCCTTCCCTCTAAATATATAGATATACAAATATATGAATGTATGTACTTTCTACAAGAAAGATCTTGATGTTAGGAATTTTTCTACGAAGAGAGAAATCAAATTTGGGAGTAAAAATATCGATAAAGTATCAAAGGAATTTTTAATTCTTGCTAGTCTTTTTGGTCAATGGTTGTTTCAGTGTCCGAAGATTTTAATTCCAGTGTATTTATCTTGAATATAAGGATTCTTATTCTTATTTTATTTTTTGTTGAATTGATTTTTTTATTTAATTGAAGGAAAAAGATAAAGATGGGTCCTGAGGGCTGTGACATTCCTAAGCCTGAGAAGCAAGAATGCAATGCAATTGAATTGGAAAGGCTCTACAGGGGTCTTGACATTATTGACGAGAAGCCTGAGAAGCAAGAATTTAATCCAATTGACTTGGAAAGGCTCTACAGGGATCTTGACATTGTTGACGTTAAAAGTCTCTATAGGAGAGTCGAGCTAATGGAAGATCAGATGAAGTTAATAGACTTGAATTTAGTGTATATCACCAAGGAAGTGCAAAAGGAGTTTTTGAGGAGGACTGGAGGTGGAGTTTACGCCACACCGGAGTTATTGAGCTTGACTAGAAAAGCATTTGCCGGACTTGACGGGACCAATCATGATGGCTGATGATGATGATGATCACGGGACTGAGCACTGCGAGGAGGATAGGGATGCTGAGGTTGGTTAAGTGGCTCATTCATTGTTTTTTTGTTTTTCAGTAATATAACTTTTACTGCTTTATTTTATTATTTTGGTATGCATTTATGTGGTGTTTCTATCTTATTTGGGTTTAGAATTTGGTTGCCGCAGCAATAAGAAAAGTAGTTATGATTAAAATGCCATTTGTGTTTGAATTTAATGAGAAAGAAGCTTGTGCTAAATTCTGCAGAACCCTATGGTAAAAAAATGGGTCAAGGCTATTATTGGAATTTAGCAGTGAAAGGAGACTACTTTATCTTTATCTTTCTTGGGTTATTAAAATCTTTGAAGCTGTTAATGTTTTCAATGTTTCTGAGTAGTAGATTTGTTAAAACAAAACATCATGCAAGCAAACATGACTTCAATGTAGTGTCTTTGTTAATCTGCAACATAATTTTACCTTGTAGGTTGTTGCAAGAAGTGGTAAGACATGATGTTTTTCAACAATAATAGTATATTTTTTCTCTATCACTATGAATTTTTTATGATCAGTTGGAAGACAAAACCATGTGATCCTTCATCAATCACAACACCACATAAATCTTCCTTGACCACTCATTCTACATTTCAGAGGATTTCTTGCATACCCTTTTATCTATACACACACACACACACACACACATTTCTGAATCTACAACCAACACAAGTCTCGTCATTCTTCACTCTCAAAGCTTTCATATGTTCTGCAAGCTCTTTGTGGTCTTTGTTTCTTTTCTAGTTCATTAGACAGATATATTCATACAAAATAATGGGTTTCTGCATGCCTCGTATCATTAATGCTAAGCAAATTCTTCGGATGCCTTCTTTGACAGCTGACCAAGCAGATTCAACAGCTCTAAATGTCCCAAAAGGCTATTTTGCTGTTTATGTTGGAGAGAGTGAAAACAAGCAGTTTGAGATTCCAATATCGTACTTGAACCAGCCTTTGTTCCTAGACTACTACTAAGTCTAGCCTAGGAAGAATTTGGGTTTGATCATCCAATGGGCGGTCTCACTATTCGTTGCAGAGAGGACGTCTTCATTGATATCACTTCTCAGTTGAGCAGATCATGAGACAATTCTATGCATATAGACATAATTTTGTAAATCAGTAGTCATCATATCTGTATACAAACTTGAATTTGGTACCTTTTATTTATTATTATTATTTTCCAGCTGGGAGATTGGGATGAAAAAATTGGCCCTTATCAGACAATTTCAAAAGCAACATTATTTCTTCAAAATCTTTGTTTCTATAGAATTTATATCTACTTTGGTGTGCATTTTTTTTGTTGTATTCTTTAAGCAAATATATTTTGTTTCAATTAAACTCAGTTAGCGAGAAATTTCTCCAAAAGGAGATCTGCAGCAGTTTAGGGTTCTCTTCCAATATCATCTCTTGAGCCTACACAAGTCTGTCCAATCAGGAAGGTAGAGGGAAAGAGGTCAATTTTTGTTGAAGCGTCAACATTGTTTGACAACATTCTGATGATGAAATCGATGCCAGTGACAATTACTTGTTTATACAGTGTCTGTCTTTTAGACTGAGGGACTAATGTTGGTTCAGGGAAAAAAATAAATACCATGTTTACCTTAAAGAGTTATTGAATCAGTTATTGGCAATTATCAAAGATCCAAATCTTATGTTGTGTCGTGATATATAAAGTGCTGATACATGTGCATGTGTTAAGCAATAGTAGTGTATAGTTTTTTTAATCCAAATAGAATTAGGAATAAATGATAATCAGTGGGCTGCAAACACATAACAATTTCAAGCTGACCTCTATTGTTTGTTCTGTTTAAGGTGATGATGGGCCAACACAATTTGCCACAAAAAATTGAAAATTGCACCAACTCTGACTCCATTCAAGTCCATAGTTGTTATTTGAGAGAGAAGAATTTAACACATACACTAATGGCTGGCTGGTTTTGTGCTCGACCTGGTCAACCTCTCATCTCATCCAATTTTAGGGACCATGCGAACTTGCAAGGAACATCGTCACAAGAGCAGCTTACTTCTTAATTCCCATGTTAGGCGGTGCCACAACATAGCACAGCAACTGTGCCCTTTATGTTTATTTGATCTCAAACCCTAACAAATATGCATGACCTGTATTGATTTATAGTTCTGTTATAGTAATAGGCCATGACAAGTCATTCGCATATCCATTGTTTGTTCTGTGATAGTGATAGGCCATGAGAAGCCACCCACATATTCATTGTTCGGAGGTGCCATAACATACACAACAACTGTGACCTTTATGTTTATTTGATCTCAAACCTAATAAATGCATGGCCTGTATTGATTTATAGTTATAAGTAGTAGGCCACATTTTTTCAACTTCCTCTCCATTGTTTGTTCTGTTATGGCAATAGGCCATGACAAGGCACACGCATATCCACATATCCATTGTTTGTTATGTTACATCAAGAGAAATTTTCATGTTCTCTCTGTTGGGAGGCATAGCCATGTGATGCCACATGAAATATGTCTTTAATGGACCACAGTGCACTACTCTCTCAAGTCTTAACCACTCACACCATTGAGAATGCTGGCATGTATAACATTTACTCTATATATATGTGTGTGTTCCAACATTAGCTAACCACCCACATCTCAAAGCTTCTTTTGTTTAACAAAGTCCTAAGATCAAATATTTACCACTTCTCCAAGAAAATCGTTTCGATACAAAATTATGGGTATCCGCTTGCTCAGAATTGTTCATGCTAAGCAGATTGTCCAGCAACTTTTTTCAACTCCAGTGATAACTGGTGTACCCAAAGGCCACCTTGCTGTTTACGTTGGAGAAACCGAGAAGAAGAGATTTGTAGTCCCAATTTCATTTTTGAAGCATCCTTCATTCCAAAACTTGCTAAGCCAGGCTGAAGAGGAGTTTGGATTTGATCATCCAATGGGTGGTCTCACCATCCCATGCAGAGAGCAAACCTTCATTGATCTAACTTGCAGTTTGAATTGCTCTTAAGCAAGGAGAAGAAGGAATGACTAGCCATTAGAGACAGATATTCCAACACCATTGACCAAAAGAAACCAATTACTTCAATTTTGTAACAGAAGAATTGGTGGTTTGTTATATATTTGATGTAACCTTTGAATTTTATGAAGTAACGTGAGAGTTAGAATCTTTTCGCATATACAGAGTTAGAGTAGCTTAAAATTTTCTTTCCTTTAGCTCTTTTAGTACAAATGCTTCTAATCTGTCCCTTAAATATATATTTAGTATGAACAATATGATCATGCATGCTGAAATTGTCAGTTATCAAAAGCCAAGTCTATAATGTGGATTCACTCTCCCATTACCATTTAAAAATTGAAGAATTCAATAATTTATGTTACCTAGTTATATATATGACAAGAATATCAATGTTGGGCAAGGACTCTGTCCCTTTGGCTAACATATGAAAATTTCTGATGGTTGCATCAATCGATATAAATTTAGAAGTATCTGCAGTAAAATGGAAGAAGAATCCCCAGATATGGTGAAAAGTGAGATATGTCAATCATTTTTTAACAGTAGGTACATTTCTCACAATAATTTCTGTTAGCACTTTAAATGTGGTGGGTAGCATTGAGGACCACTAGTAGGTCATGATTCAGATGGAACAATCTATGTTTTTCTTGCAAGTTGATGTTTTGGTTTATGATTGCATGATGATTCAGATGGAATAATTTTGAAGTATCTGTAGTATCAACAATATGATTTTTTAACTGTTGATCTTTCCATTTCCGTCCACAAGAATTGGGATTCGCTATTCTCTTGTTTTTCAATTTACTAGATGACCATGTACAGTGGGGTTTGTCATGCCTCTTACAAGCTTTCATGGGAAACTTACTTTCTAAATGTGGCTTAGAATTGGAAAATGTACTAACTCTGTCTTTATTCAAGTCCATAGTTGTTTATTATGTGAGAGAGAAGATTGCAGAGGATTATATATCTTTTCAATATATATATATAAACTTCACCACATAATGCTTATATTATGTAATCATACATGGAGCAAAAAGTAGAATTTGCATGTCTCAAGCATGCCCTTGATCAACATGTCCTTGTGTCTTTAGTTTCAATGGGATCCTCTATAGGTTATCATACTAGAAGCCGTAGGGCATGGTGTCTTTCAACAAAACACATATAATTCTAAATTTCTGATGAGTTGGAAGACAACCCCGCGTGATCTTCATGTGCTAATATGTCCCAGGAACCCCATCCCAATGCCTCTTTACCACTCTTTCACCATTTAGAAAATTCCCACAAACACTAATTGCTGGTTTGATTTAGTGCTGATCTGGTCAACCTCTCTTCCCATCCGATTTTAGGCTCAATCTTGTATAATCATCGCCAATCATCAATTGCAAGGAACATTGTCTCAGGAGCATCTATAACTTCTTTAATCCCATGTTCGGTGGTGTCATAACATACACAGGAACTCTGACCTTTATGTTTATTTGATATCAAACCTAACAAGAATGCATGGCCTGTATTGATATTTAGTTATACTCTCTGTAGGCCACATTCACTAATAAATTTTCAACTCAATCTCCATTGTTTTTTCTGATATAGTGATAGGCCATGACAAATTTTCATGTTCTATCTGTTCGGAGGCAAAACCATGTGATACCTCAAGACACATGTCATTAATGGACCACAGTGCTCTGCTCTCTTGACCACTCAATCCATATGAGAATGCTAGCCCGTATAACGATTGCCCTATATATATGTGTTCCAACATTAGCCTCTCACATCTCTAGGCTTCTTTTGTTTAACAAAGTCGTCCAATCAATTACTTGCCACTTCTCCAAGAAAAACATTTGATACAGATTATGGGTATCCGCTTGCTCAGAATTGTTCATGCTAAGCAGATCCTCCAGCAGGTTTTTTCGACTCCAGTGGCTAAGGGCGTACCCAAAGGCCACTTGGCTGTTTATGTTGGAGAAACCGAGAAGAAGAGATTTGTAGTCCCGGTTTCATACTTGAAGCATCCTTCATTTCAAAACTTGCTAAGCCAGGCTGAAGAAGAGTTTGGATTTGATCATCCAATGGGTGGTCTCACCATCCCATGCAGAGAAGAAACCTTCATTGATCTCACTTGCAATTTGAATTTCTCTTAATCAAGGAGATGAAGGAATGGCTAGCCATTAGAGACAGATATTCTAACTCCATTTACCAAAAGAAACCAATTGCTTCAATTTTGAAACAGAAGAATTGGTTGTTTGTTGTATATTTGATGTAACCTTTGATTTTTATTAAGTAAAACTGAGAGTTGAATCTTTTCGCATCAATTGAGTAGCTTATTTTTTTTATTTTTATTTTTTCTATAGATCTTTCAATACAAATGCTGCTAATATGTCCCTTGCATATGTATTTGGTATTAACAGTATAATTTGCACGCTGTCATTTTTAGATACCAAAAGCCAAATCTATTATGTGGATTCACACTGCCATTACTATTTTAATTTTTTAGAGGTACGTTTGGTTAACATCTGAAAAACAAAAGCCAAAAGCAAATTCTTTGACTGCAAACCAAAAGCCAAATCTTAATGACAATTAACAATAATGACAAGCTAGCTGGATGATCTTTTTATATTGTCCCTCTTTCTTCCTCTTAATTCACCATTCAAACTAATTAGGTCATTTATCTACCTGCTCCTTTTGTTTCCAAAAAGGTGCTGGGAAATAACTAGGTCAATTTGGCTATGATCTGAAAGATGTTGGTCATTAGGTCCTGCAAATTTGGAGTATTTCACAATGATATGGACCCCTGAATTGGTTACATTTCTTTCAAATCATCACAAATGATATAGGTCCATCTATTTTTATCTGTCATCAGATTTCTCACAAGAATCTTGGATCAAGTTTACATGGAATGGGTAGTAATGAGGATCACTAGTAGGTCATATTAGTTTCCATGCCTCCTTATTCAGCATGACTTCGGATTCTTAGGATCCCATGTTCATTTTCAGTTCAATTTCCCGTTACCATGGTGGAGCTCTGATGCTTATTTCAAAGACATTTGCATGATTTAAAGAGCTCTAAGTTGCAAGTTAACATCTAATTTAAAGTCGAGCAAAGGTTCAGAACTTGAAAATGTCTACACTTTATTTACTTCGCAGTGTTACATCTATGATCCAAAATATATATATATATATAGTTTTTGTCTTTTCATCATATTACACACTAATTTGACCATTAATGCTTATATTAAGCTATCACACTAGGAGAAAAAAGTGGCCTTATATGTCTGAAGCATGTAGTTTATCCAAGAGGTCAGTTGATACTGTGCTTGAACCAACAGGAGTCAAGAGGCTACCCATTACCCACTGCCTCTATTTCCTCTGTAAGCTGTTACAAGTAGTGGTAGGGCATGATGTTTGTCAACACATACAGTTTAGTCTCTATCACTTTAAAGTCTTGACCATGAGTTGGAAGACAAAACCATGTGATCCTTCATGTGCTAATGTCTTTCAAAAATTGCCATCTAAATCCCTCTTCACCACTCATTCCACATTGCAGAGGATTTTCCACATAGCCTTCAGTCTATATATATCCACATATGAGTTAGTCTACAACCAACACAAATCTTTACATTCTTCACTATCAAAGCCTTTATTTGTTCTACAAATTATTTCTAAACTCCAGAGAGAGAGAGATTTACATATACAACAATGGGTTTCCGTGTGCCTCGTATTGTTAGTGCAAAGAAAATTCTTCAACTGCCTTCTTTGACAGCAAACCAAGCAGATTCTATGGCTCTAAATGTCCCAAAAGGCTACTGTGCAGTTTATGTCGGTGAAAGTGAAAAGAAGCGATTTGTGGTTCCAATATCATACTTGAACCAGCCTTCATTTCAGGACTTGTTAAGTCAAGCTGAGGAAGAATTTGGTTTTGTCCATCCAATGGGTGGTCTCACAATTCCCTGCAAAGAGGACATCTTCATTGATATCACTTCTCAGCTGAGCAGATCATGAAACAATTCTATGCATATAGACACAATTTTGTAAAGCAGTAGTCATCATTTCCATGTACAAATTTCAATTTTTACCATTTTCTTTTCAGAGAGGAGATTGGGGATGAAAAAAAAAATCTCCCCTTGTTGCAAATATTATAATGTTGAGATCATGATGTTCTCAGACAATTTCAAAAGCAAATACTTTATTTCATCAAAATCTTTGTTTCTATAGATTTTATATTGACTTTGGAGTGCATTTTTTATTTTGTTGCCTAATATAATTTTGTAATTGCAGTAATTAGGAAAACCACAAAAAAGAGGTGAAAAGTTATAATTTCAGTGCAATAGGGTATTGAGATGTCCTCATCTCAACTAAACCTTATTTTAATTTGCACAATGGTCTAGAGTATTGCAGTCGAATATATATGTGAAGTAACTGTTTTAAAGTTCACCTCTTGAACATGTATTACTAGTATTAGTTTTGCATAGACAGTCAAATTAGACTATGTCATTTTCAATTGCCAAAAGCCAAAACTTAATGACGAATTACGATGACATGCTAACTTGATGATATATGTAATGTGTCCCTCTTTTGTTCTCTTTATTCAGCCTTCCTTCAGACTAACTAAGGACAAAGTGAAAAAACCACAAGTCATTTATATTGCTGCTCTTTTTGTTTCCAAAAAGTGCTGGACAACTAGGTCAATTTGGCTAAGATCTGAAAGATGCTAGTCATTAGGTCCTACAAATTTGGAGAATCTACAGAAATATGGAACAAGAATCCCATGAAATGGTTACACTTGTTTAAAATCATCACAATTATATAGTAGCTGCATTTGTTTCTTTTGAGCCACAATGCAGCTACTATATAATTGCTTTATTTTCTTAATAATAACTATATACATGATTTCTTTCAGTTAGTAATGGAATCTTGTTTGGACTCAATGCCACTCGCTTCTACTTTATGTCCAGTTATGCCTACTATTATGGTCAATTTGGATAATACTAATGAAAAAACCACATTATCTTAAAAAAAAGAATGCTAGGCAGCAGCAAATTGTTTTCTAAATGAACTTGTGAAATGTAACTGGCGAATCAGACCCTGCTATTAATTTAAAATTTGATCCAAATGGTCTACTGGATATATGCTATAATCAGTAGGCCATGATGATATAATTTCCAGTAGACCCTTCATTTGTTTGTTCTGTTATAGTGGTCTGCCTAACAACTTATATCCAAGATGTTTAGTATTTTTGTTGGGAGGCATAACCATGTGATACCACATCCCATATGTATTTTGTGGACCAACTGCACTACTCTCTTCACCACTCATTTGATATTGAGAATGCTGGCCATAGAGCTTCTGCTCTTAGGGTCCTCTGCAGGTTGTTGCAAACAACGGTAGGGAATGATGTTTTTGAACAAAAATACAAATTTTCCTCTATCACAATGAATTCTTGATGATGTGTTGGAAGACACATCCATGTGATCCTTCATCAATCAGAACACATAAATCTTCCTAGACCACTCATTATTCTACATTTTAGAGGATTTCTTGCATTCCCTTTTATCTATATATAGACATACATATTAGTCATTCTACAACCAACACAAGTCTAAGTATAATTCTTCACTCTCAAAGCTTTCATTTGTTCTGCAAACTCCTCCTTGTGATCTTTGTTTCTTTTCTAGTTCGTACAACATCATGGGTTTCCGAATGCCTCGTATTATTAATGCCAAGCAAATTCTTAGGATGCCTTCTTTGGCAGCTGACCAAGCTGCTTCAACAGTTCTAAATGTCCCTAAAGGCTATTTTGCTGTTTATGTTGGAGAGAATGAGAAGAGGCGATTTGTGGTTCCAGTATCATACTTGAACCAGCCTTCATTCCAGGACTTACTAAGTCAAGCTGAGGAAGAATTTGGGTTTGATCATCCAATGGGTGGTCTCACAATTCCCTGCAAAGAGGACATCTTCATTGATATCACTTCTCAGTTGAGCAGATCATGAGACAATTTTATGCATATAGACACAATTTTGTAAAGCAGTAGTCATCAATTCTGTGTACAAATTTCAATTTTGTACCCCCTTTTGTTTTTTCCAGAGAGGATATTGGGGATGAAAAAAAATGGTCCCTTGTTTCAAAATATTATAAAGTAGAGATCATGCTGTTCTTGGACAATTTCAAAAGCAAATACATTATTTCTTCAAAATCTTTGTTTCTATAGATTCTATATCGACTTTGGTGTGCATATTTTTTGTTGCATTCTATGAGCAAATATATTTTGTTTCAATCTAATTTTTGTAATTGCAGTAACCGGGAAAGTCAGAGGAAAGGGAAAGAGGTTTTTTATTTCAAGGCAATAGTGAACTTGGTAAACAAGCGCCATTTTCAATTAAAACTGCTAAACTTGGTAAACAAGAACATGCCCAAAATAACATTTTTGTTGATGCATCAGCAATGTTTGATAACATTCTGATGATGAAATTGATGCCTGTGACTCTTATTGGGTTTTGCAGGGACTAGGTTTTAGACTAAGGGGAAAAAAATTATTAACTAATTTCATCAAGAAGAACATTTTAGGCTAATAATATTTGGAGCTTCTTTCAATATGAGCAAAAGCATGCACTTGGCCAATTCCTTGGTTTCTAAAATTTTAAAGGTCAAACCTTGAAGACATTAGCCAGGCCATGAATATGTTGGGAAGGCCCTTTGGGAGCATTTGTTGCATAACAAGCCACAATGCATCCACTACATTATCTCTAAACAGACTTGGGGTTCCTGAACTTGAACTTGTTGTCATCCAAGACACATTATCTTTTAAATAATAGATAGTTCTTATCTGGTCTGAACGCACCACTACAGTTGAACTTTGAACTTTTATGTCTAGTTAATTAGCTTTTTTGGCTCAGTAATTTGCATTCAAGAAATATCACTCAAAATTCGATCTGCTGTCAAAGACTCAAATCTTATGTTGTGTGATGATATACAGTACTGAAGATCTTGGTGTTTATTGCTGCAAACCTAGCAAACATGTAATGCAGATACATGTTTTTTATTTGTTTATCCAAATAGGATTTAGGAATAAATCATAATCAATGGGCTGCAAACACATATAATTTCAAGCTGACCTCCATTGTTTGTTCTGGTAAGGTGATGGGCCATGACAAGCATGTCCTTGGGGTTTCTAGTATATTGCTTAATTCAACAGGAGGTTTTGATTTATCTACAATCCTTACCTCTTTAATTTCAATGGGATCCTCTGTAGATTATAGTACTAGGGGTGATAGGGCATGATGTCTTCCAACGATAATACATTTTGGTGGTCTCTACTACTCTAAATTCCTTATGATGACTTGGAAGGAAACCCTGTGTATTCTTCATGTGCTAAGATGCCCCCATGAACCCCATCTAAATTCTGCTTTAGCAGTCATTCCATAGTTTAGAAATTTAACACATACACTAATGGCTGGTTTTGTGCTCGGTCTGGTCAACCACTCATCTCATCCGATTTCAGGGACTATGCGAACTTGCAATTATCACTTGCAAGGAACATCGCCACAAGAGCAGCTAGCTTTTTAATTCCCATGTTTGGCGGTGCCACAACATAACACAGCAACTGTGCCCTTTATGTTTATTTTATCTCAAACCCTAACAAATATGCATGGCCTGTATTGATTTATAGTTATAAGTAGTAGCCCACATTTTTTCAACTTCATCTCCATTTTTTGTTCTGCTATAGTAATAGGCCATGACAAGGCACACGCATATCCACATATCCACTGTTTGTTCTGTTACATCAAGAGAAATTCTCATGTTCTCTGTGTTGGGAGGCATAGCCATGTGGTGCCACATGAAATATGTCTTTAATGGACCACAGTGCACTACTCTCTCAAGTCTTAACCACTCACACCATTGAGAATGCTGGTCTGTATAACATTTACTCTATATATATGTGTGTTCCAACATTAGCTAACCACCCACATCTCAAAGCTTCTTTTGTTTAACAAAGTCCTAAGATCAAATACTTGCCGCTTCTCCAAGAAAATTCTTCGATACAAAATTATGGGTATCCGCTTGCTCAGAATTGTTCATGCTAAGCAGATTGTCCAGCAACTTTCTTCAACTCCAGTGATCACTGGTGTACCCAAAGGCCACCTTGCTGTTTACGTTGGAGAAACCGAGAAGAAGAGATTTGTAGTCCCAATTTCATTTTTGAAGCATCCTTCGTTCCAAAACTTGCTAAGTCAGGCTGAAGAGGAGTTTGGATTTGATCATCCAATGGGTGGTCTCACCATCCCATGCAGAGAAGAAACCTTCATCGATCTCACTTGCAATTTGAATTGCTCTTAAGCAAGTAAAAGAAGGAATGGCTAGCCATTAGAGACAGATATTCTAACACCATTGACCAAAAGAAGCCAATTACTTCAATTTTTTAACAGAAGATTTGGTTGTTTGTTGTATATTTCATGTAACTTTTGTTTTTTATGAAGTAAACTGAGAGTTGAATCTTTTGGCATCAATTGAGTTGCTTAAATTTTTCTTTCTTTTAGATTTTTCAGTATAAATGCTGCTAATCTGTCCCTTACACATATATATTTGGTATTAACAGTATAATTATGCCTGCTGTCATTTTTTGTTACCAAAAGCCAAATCTACTATGTGGATTCACACTGCCATTACCATATTAATTTTGTAGAGATCCATTTGCTTAACATCTGAAAAACAAAAGCCAAAAGTAAAATTTTCAACTGCCTTCTTTGACAGCAAACCAAAAGCCAAATCTTAATGATGATTAACAATGACATGCTAGCTGATGATCTCTTTATATTGTCCCTCTTTATTTCTCTTAATTCACCATTCCTTCAAAATAATTAAACAAAAGAAGAAGTGAAAAAAATCAAGTCATTTATCTACCTACTCATTTTGTTTCCAAAAAGCTGCTGGGAAATAACTTGGTCAATTTGGCTATAATCTGAAAGATGTTGGTCATTAGGTCATACAAATTTGGAGCATCTACAGTGATATGGAACAAGAATCCTCTGAAATGGTTATACTTCTTTCGAATCCTCACAAATGAGATTTCCATCTATTTATAGCTGTTATCACATTTCTCACAAGAATTTTGTCTCAAGTTCAAATGGAATGGCTAGTGATGAGTAGTGATATTAGTCATCTGTAGCATGACTTAGAAGTTTAAGTACATATGCTCCCATGTTCATTACCGTTCAATTTCCCATAAGTATGTCATTGAGGTTCATCGGGAGCATTTTGTTTCATTTCCACCCACAATACAGATACTATATAATTGTTGTGTCTGAAGACTTGGGGCTCCCGCACTCAAAGTTTCATCTTCCTTTGATTTTCTTAATAAAAATTATAAACATGATGCTGGCCTTTGTGCCGGTATGGCCACATGCCTAAAAGTATATTGTATTCTAAATTAACTTATGAAATGTAATAGGCAAATCAGACCCTGCTATTAATTTAATATTTGATCCAAATGGTCGATCTACTGGATATATGTTATAATCAACAGGCCAGGAAGATATAATTTCCAGTGGACCTTCATTGTTTCTTCTGTTATAGTGGTTTGCCTAACAAGTTATCCAAGATGTATTACAGCACAAATATATCAGATTCTTAGTGTTTTTGTTGGGAGGCATAACCATGTGATACCACATCCCATATGTATTTTGTGGACCAACGGCACTACTCTCTTCACCACTCATTTGATATTGAGAATGCTGGCCATAGAGCTTCTGCTATTATGGTCCTCAGTAGGTTGTTGCAAGCAATGGTAGGGAATGATGTTTTTGAAAAAAAAAATACATTTTTCTCTGTCACCTTGAATTCTTGATGATGAGTTGGAAGATATATCCATGTGATCCTTCATCAATCACACCACCACATAAATCTTCCTTTACCACTCATTCTACATTTCAAAGGATTTCTTGCATTCCCTGTTATCTATATATAGATATACATATTAGTCATTCTACAACCAACACAAGTCTAATTATAATTCTTTACTCTGAAAGCTTTCATTTGTTCTGCAAACTCCTCCTTGTGATCTTTGTTTCTTTTCCAGTTCATACAACATCATGGGTTTCCGCATGCCTCGTATTATTAATGCCAAGCAAATTCTTAGGATTCCTTCTTTGGCAGCTGACCAAGCTGCTTCAACAACTCTAAATGTCCCTAAAGGCTATTTTGCAGTTTATGTTGGAGAGAATGAAAAGAAGCGATTTGTGGTTCCAGTATCATACTTGAACCAGCCTTCATTCCAGGACTTACTAAGTCAAGCCGAGGAAGAATTTGGGTTTGATCATCCAATGGGTGGTCTCACAATTCCCTGCAGAGAGGACATTTTCATCGACCTGACTTCTCGATTGAGCAGATCTTAGAGATTGGATGCTATGTCTATATGTTAATACACACAATTTTGTAAAGCAGGAGTCACCATTTCCATGTACAATTTTCAATATTTTTTGTTTATTTATTCATTTTTACGGAAGAGGCTGGAAAAAATTCACCCTATTTCATAACATTATAAATATTCATTGAAATCTTTGTTTATGTCAAACTTTATCTTGCATCCAATTAGCAAAGATGTTTTCCCTAAACTATGTTGCCAAATTATTATTATTATTATTATTATTTTATTTTTTGCAGCAGTTTATTGTTCTTCCCTTGATGGATGTATGCATACATGTAATACAGCACAGTGTGCATTACACATAAATCAATTGTAAGATCTTGACAAAAAACAGAATTTACCCAGTTTGAATGTTGCACACACTAAAGGTGGCCATTCAATAGTTTGGCACTACCTCTTGAAGTAAAACAAGAATGCCAAGTCAAGCCAATATAATTTTGTAATCACATTAATCAGTAAAATCACAGAAAAAACCGGGGGGGGGGGGGGGGGGGGCGTGGGGGTTGGGGTGGTGGAAGTTAATTTCAGGGCAATTGGGTACTGAGATGTGCACATCTCAACTAACCCTTAGTTAAAAACATGCTAGCTTGATGCTTTCTTTATATTGGTCCTCTTTAGTCTTCTTAATTCACCCTTCCTTCAAACTAACTAACTAAAGGAAAAAGTGAAAAAATCATATCATTTATCTACCTGCTCTTTTTGTTTCCAAAAGGTGCTGGGCAGGAACTAGGTCAATTTGGCTATGATCTAAAAGATGCTGAACAATAGATCCTATAAATTTAGAGTATCTACAGTGATATGGACACAAGAATCACCCGAAATGGCTACACTTCTTTAATATCATCACAAATAAGAATTTTGGATCATATTAGTTTCCTCCCTCCATCTGTAGCATGAATTTCATAGAGTCCCATGTTCATTACAGTTCAATTTTCCAATTACCACAGTGGAGCTCAGATGCTTATTCAGATCCTTTTGCATTATCAGAAAAGATTTAATTTTCAAGTTAACATCTATTTTAATTCAAATACAGGTTCAGAACTTAAAAATGTCTGCACGTCATTTTACTCAGCAGTATTTTTTTCTATGAGAATATATATATATATATATATATTGCATAGTTTTTGTCTTTTCATCACACTACACACACTAATTTGATCATTAGGAGAAAGAAGAGGACTTAGATGTCTGAAGCGTGTCTTTTATCCAAGAGGTCAGTTGATACTGTGCTTGGATCAGCAGGAGTCAAGAGGCTACCCACTACCCTTATTTCTTTAATTTTTTGATAAAATTCTCTGTAGGCTGTTACAAGTAGTGGTAGGGCATGACGTTTTTCAGCAAATATAAACTTTAGTCTCCATCATTCTAAATTCTTGACCATGAGTTGGAAGACAAGACCGTGTTATCCTTCATGTGCTAGTGTCTTTCACAAATTGACATCTAATTCCCTCTTCACCACTCATTCCACATTGCAGAGGATTTTCCACATAGCCTTCAGTCTATATATATTTCCACATGTGAGTCAGTCCACAACCAAAACAAGTCTTTTACATTCTTCACTATCAAAGCTTTCGTTTGTTCTGCAAGCTCTTTCTAAACTTCACAGAGAGAGAGAGAGATTTACATACACAACAATGGGTTTCCGTCTGCCTCGTATTGTTCATGCTAAGCAAATTCTTCGACTGCCTTCTTTCACAACAAATCAAGCAGATTCTATGGTTCTAAATGTCCCAAAAGGCTACATTGCAGTTTATGTTGGTGAGAGTGAAAAGAAGCGATTCATGGTTCCAATATTATACTTGAATCAGCCTTCATTTCAGGACTTGTTAAGTCAAGCTGAGGAAGAATTTGGTTTTGACCATCCAATGGGTGGTCTCACAATTCCCTGCAAAGAGGACATCTTCATTGGTATCACTTCTCGGCTGAGCAGACCATGAGACAACTCTATGCATGCACACACATTTTTGTAAATCAGGAGTCATCATTTCCATTTACAAATTTCAATTTTGTACTCTTTTTTTTTTTTTCAGAGAAGAAATTGGGACTGAAAAAAATGGCCCCTTGTTTCAAAATATTATAAAGTGCAGATCATACTATTCTTAGACAATTTCAAAAGCAAATACATTGTCTCAAGTACATTTTCACATGAGCAGCTACAAGCCTAAAATATTTGATCCATTTGGTCTAGTGGATATATGTTATAATCAGTAGGCCAGGAAGATATAATTCCCAGTGGACCTTCATTGTTTGTTTAGTTATAGTGATCTAGCTAATAAGTTATCCAAGATGTATTACAGCATAAAATTATTACACTCTTTAGTATTTTTGTTGGGAGGCATAACCATGTGATAACACATCCCATATGTATTTTGTGGACCAACTGCACTAGTCTCTTCACCACTCATTTTATATTGAGAATTCTGGCCATAGAGCATCTGCTGTGAGGGTCCTCTGTAGGTTGTTGCAAGCAGAGGTAGGGCATGCATCTTTTTTTGTTGCATTCTATGAGCAAATATATTTGTTTCAATTAAACTCCTTTTTTTTTTTTTTTTCTCTAAATATTTCAATTAAACTCAGTTAGCAATTTTTTTTGGTCAAATGGAGATCTGGCAGCAGTTTATGGTTCTCTTCCAGTAACATACAGCCTACAAGTCTGGCCACCAGGCCAATCTAATTTTTGTAATTGCAGTAATCAGGAAAGTCAGAAGAAAGGGAAAGAGGTTTTTTATTTCAAGGAAATAGGGAACTTGGTAAACAAGCATCATTTTCAATAAGAACTGCTAAACCTGTTAAACAAGCACATGCCCAAAATAACATTTTTGTTGACGCATTAGCAATGTTTGATAACATTCTGGTGATGAAATTGGTTCCAGTGACTCTTACTGGGTTTTGCAGGGTCTAGGTTTTAGAATAAGAGACTAACATTGGTTCAGGAAAAAATAAAAATTAAAAAAAATTAAAAAAAAAATTATTGGGTTTTGCATTTTGTGCTGGGGAAATGAATACATGGTGCTTGTCACCCCAATGCATATGATTTCTGTTGTGGAAAAATTATTTTCCTCTGCAGAGTTCAGTAACGGTGATCTATAGCCATAGGTGAGATACATACAAAAGCCTTTGTGCATCTGGCTTACTGGAATTGTGGGAGGAATCGATAAAACATGGGAAGCTTCATCAAGAACACTTGAGGCACAACTGTACAAGTCAATTAAAGATCCATCAGCTGGAAAAAAGGATTAATATCAATCATCCCATACAAAGACAATTAATTGGAAGCTTCTTTCAATATGTGCAAAAGCATGCACTTTCCCAATTCCTTGGTTTCTAACATTTTTAAAGTTCAAACCTTGAAGACATTAGCCAAATTAAACTGAATGTACCATGAATATGTTGGGAATGTCCTTTGGGAGCATTTGTCACATAACAAGCCACAATTCAACCACTGCATTAAGTATCTAAACCTGAAATTCTGGCCAAGCTTATATCATCACCAATTCGACAATTTGTACTTGTGTGTGTCAAGGAGCATTGTAACATGAGAAACTAACTTGTCAAATTTATTTTGTGTTGTGATATACAGTACTGTAGGTCTTTGTGTTTATTGCTGCTAACCAAACAAACATTAGACCCTACTGTATAGTTTTTTTTTTTTTTTTTTTTTATCCAAATTAGGATTTAGGATGTAAATTATAATCAGTGGGCTGCAAACACATACAATTTCAAGCTGACCTCCATTGCTTGTTCTGTTAAGGTGATGGGCCATAACAAGTTGCCCCAAATATATTACAGCACCAAAAATGTCATATTTTATGTATTTTTGTTGGGGGGCACAACCATGTGATGATACCTTCTCATTATAAGAATGCTTGCCCATATAGCATTTGACTATATATATCCTAAGTGCTAACATTACCCACCCATTGTCAAAGCTAGCTTCTCTCTTGTTCAACAAAGTTCTTCAGATCAATTTCAACCAAGTTTTTAAACACCAACTACTTACAGAAATCATGGGTATCCGCTTGCCCATGATTTATGCTAAACAGATTCTCCATCGGGTTCTTTCAACTACAGTGGCTGCAGATGTCCCCAAAGGCCACTTTGCTGTTTATGTTGGAGAAGCCAAGAAGAGGAGATTTGTAGTCCCAATTTCATATTTGAAGCATCCTTCATTCCAAAACTTGCTAAGCCAAGCTGAAGAAGAGTTTGGGTTTGATCATCCAATGGGCAGTCTCACAATCCCATGCAGAGAAGAGGCCTTCGTTAATATCACTTGTAGTCTGAATTGCTGCTGAGCTAGGAGAAAAGTGTCGAAATGTAGCTAAAATGAGACAAACACTCTGACATCATTGACCCTAAGAAACCAATCTCTCCAATTTTGAACTAGGAGATTTGGGTTTTTTTTTTTTTTTTTTTTTTTTTTTTGTAATTTAATGTAGAATTTTATTTCATTTTCTATGTGGAGTAAATTGGGAGTTGAATCTCTTCATGATAATTGAATACCTTGACTTTTTATATTTTATTTATTTTTGTTGATTGAAAAGCTCTTTCATCAAATGTTATAGCAACCAATCCACAGTATCTACAAGATTTGTTGTGCTGTATCACTTTTAGTTAGCAAAAGCCTACTCTTTAATGAGGATTCACTATGCTGTGCTGATCTATGAATCTCTTCATTCCTTGTTCTTTGTCCCTCCCAATCCACCCATCCCTTTAAAGTAATTAACTAAAATCAATTCATTAGTTCTTCAATTTCATTTATTTTTCCCCCTAAAAGATACTGGGCAAGTACTAGGTCCATTTGGCTAACATCTGAAAAATGCTGATTGCACTAGTCAGTATAAATTTGAAGTATCTGCAGTAAATATGAAAGATGTCCTGAATGGTCACTTTTTTCAAATGATTGAAATTGAGTTTGGGTCCATTATTTTTTAGCAGTCAATAAATTTCTCACAAAAACATTTTGTTAAGTTGAAATGCCGGTGTATAGCAAGGAGGACCACTAGAAGGTATTCTTGTGTACTTCAATAAGGTTTTAACTTGAAAATTGATGCAAAATTTTAATTTCTGAAACGCTGTAACTGTATATGACATCATTCCATGCCTCCTGCCCTTATAAGACTTTGGTTTCACGAGTTTTGATCTTTTCTATTACATTTCAATTTTCTTAAGCAACCGCAGAGGGGCTCTAGGTTCTAATTTAATTTCCACATTATTTTAGAACATAAAAATGTACTGACTTAAATTAGAACCCAACTGTAAGCTATCTCACCAGAATGGTAGGGCTTGATGTCTTCAACAAATATACATCTTAGTTAATTCTATCATTCTAAATTCATGATGATCATGAGTTGCAAGGCAACCCCTTGTGATCTTCATGTGCTAACATGTCCCATGAGCCCCATCTAAATGCCTCTTTACCACTCTTTATCATCACCAGTTATCACTTGCAATGAACATTGTCACTAGATCACCTAACTTCTTTAATCCCATGTTCGGTGGTGCTTTAACATACACAGCACCTGTGGCCTTTGTGTTTATTTGATGTATGGACAGTATTGATATAGAATCAGTAGGCCACATTCAATAAAATATTTCCAACTTCATCTCCATTGTTTGTTTTGTCATGGTGATAAGCCATGACAAGGCACTCGGATACGTTACATCATGAAATATTTTCATGTTCCTTCTGCTGTGAGGCATAGCCATGTGATACCTCATGACATATGTCATTGATGGACCACAGTGCACTACTCTCTTAACCACTCAATCCATATGAGAATGCTAGCCTGTATAAACTATATATATGTGTTCCAATCCAACATTAGCCACTCACATCTCAAAGCTTCTCTTATTTAACAAAGTCCTACAGTCAATTACTTGCTACTTCTCCAAGAAAAACATTTGATACAAATTATGGGTGTCCGTTTGCTCAAAATTGTTCGTGCTAAGCAGGTCCTCCACCAGGTTTTCTCAACTCCAGTGGCTAAGGGTGTACCCAAAGGCCACTTGGCTGTTTATGTTGGAGAAACCGAGAAGAAGAGATTTGTAGTACCAGTTTCATACTTGAAGCATCCTTCATTCCAAAACTTGCTAAGCCAGGCTGAAGAAGAGTTTGGATTTGATCATCCAATGGGTGGTCTCACCATCCCATGCAGAGAAGAAACCTTCATTGATCTCACTTGCAATTTGAATTGCTCTTAAACAAGGAGATAAAAGAATGGCTAGCCATTAGGGACAGATATTCTAACACCATTGACCAAAAGAAACCAATTGCTGTAATTTTGAAATAGGAGAATTAGTTCCTTCTTGTAAATTTGATGTAACCTTTGATTTCTATGAAGTAAACTGAGTTGAAATTCTTCGCATTAATTGAGTTGCCCATTTTTTTTTTTTTTTTTTTTTAAGTTTTTTTGTTAGTCAAATAGCTTTTAATACAAATGCTGCTAATCTGTCTACACTTACACACACACACACACACACACACATACACATATATATATTTAGTATCAACAATATGATTATGCATGCTGTTACTGTTGATTATCCAAATCTATAATGTGGATTCACTCTGCCATTTCCATTCTAATTTTGAAGAATTAATTACCTGGTATGCGTGTATAAGATGGTGGGGAATACAAAATACCTTTGGCTAACAACTGAATATTTCTTATCACATCAATCAATATAAATTTTGAAGTATCTGCAGTAAAATGGAGGAAGAATCCCCATATATGGTACACTTATTTCAAATGGTCAAAAGTGAGATTGGTCCATCATTTTTTAACAATCGGTACATTTCACACAATAACATCTGTTAAGTACTTGAGATGTGGGGGGTAGCACTGAGGACCACTGGTAGGTCATGATTAAGACAGAACAATGTATTTTTTCTTGCAAGTTGATGTTTTAGTTTATGACTTGCTATAACTGTAGATCTTTCCATACCCCTCCCCTTAGCCATAACAAGATTATGGATTCGCTATTCTCTTGTTTTTCAATTTACTAGATGATCATGAACAATGGAGGTTTGTCAAGCCTCTTACTGTGGTTTAGAATTGGAAAATGTACTCACTTTGTCCCTATTCAAGTCCATAGTATTTTCTTATGTGAGAGAGAAGATTGCAGAGTTCTAATATATCTTTTCGACAGATACAAACTTCACAACATAATGCTTATAGAATGTTATTATACCACTCATTAGATTTTACACATGCACTAATGGCTGATTGAGGGACACATTACATGGATCATGAAGTTAGCATTTCATTGTTAATCGTCATTAAAATTTGGCTTTTAGCAATTCAAAATGAGTCTAGTTTTATTGTCTATACCAAAACTAATGTTAGTGGTACATGTTCAGGAGGTGAGCTTTAAAATGGTTACTTCATAAATATATCAGTGCCGATTTTATTCATAGACCAGTGTGCAAATTAAGCTAAGATTTAGTTGAGATGAGGACATCCCAATACCCTTTCGCCCTGAAATTATAACTTTTCCCCCACATTTTATATGATTTTCCTGATTAATGCAATTACAAGATTATATAAGATAAAAACAAACCCAAAAACATGCCAAAGTCGAAATAAAATCTATAGAATTAGAAAAAAAGATTTTGACGAAATAATTTATTTGGCTTCGAATATATATTTGTGGACTGACTCATATGTGGAAATATATATAGACTGAAGGCTATGTGGAAAATACTCTGCAATGTGGAATGAGTGGTGAAGAGGGATTTAGATGGTAATTTGTGAAAGACATTAGCACATGAAGGATCACATGGTTTTGTCTTCCAACTCATCCCATCCGATTTTAGGTCCAAGCTTATATGTTCATCGATCAGCAGCTAGCTTCTTAAATCCCATGTTCGGTGGTGCCATAACATACACAGCAGCTGTGACCTTTATGTTTATTTGATCTCAAACCTAACAAGCATACATGGCCTGTATTGATTTATAGTTAGAAGTAGTAGGCCACATTTTTTCAACTTGATCCCCATTGTTTGTTCTGTTATAGTAATAGGCCATGACAAGGCACATACATATCCACTGTTTGTTCTGTGATAGTGATAGGGCATGAGAAGCCACCCACATATTCATTGTCTGTTCTGTTATGGCCCATGAGAAGGCACCCAGATATGTTACATCAAGAGAAATTTTCATGTTCTCTCTGTTGGGAGGCATAACCATGTGATGCCACAACATATGTCCTTAATGGAATACTCTCTTAGTCTTATCTACTCAAACTACTGAGAATGCTGGCGTGTAACATTTACTCTATATATGTGTGTGTGTTGCAACATTAGCTAACCACCCACATCTCAAAGCTTCTTTTGTTTAACAAAATCCTAAGATCAAGTACTTACTACTTCTCCAAGAAAAACTTTTGACACAAAATTATGGGTATCCGCTTGCTCAGAATTGTTCATGCTAAGCAGCTCCTCCAGCAGGTTTTTTCAACTCCATTGATCACTGGGGTACCGAAAGGCCATGTTGCTGTTTATGTTGGAGAAACTTTGAAGAAGAGATTTGTAGTCCCAATTTCATTTTTGAAGCATCCTTCATTTCAAAACTTGCTAAGCCAGGCTGAAGAAGAGTTTGGATTTGATCATCCAATGGGTGGTCTTACCATCCCATGCAGAGAAGAAACATTCATAGATCTCACTTGCAATTTGAATTGCTCTTAAGCAAGGAGAAGAAGGAATAGCTAGCCATTAGAGACCGATATTCTAACACCATTGACCAAAACAAACCAATTGCTTCAATTTTGAATTAGAAGAATTGGTTGTTTGTTGTATATGTGATGCAACATTTAATTTTTTTTGAAGCAAACTGAAATTTGAATCTCTTCGCATCAATTGAGTAGCTTAAATTTTTCTTTCCTTTAGCTCTATTAATACAATTGATGCTAATTTGTCCCTTACCAAAAGCCAAATCTATAATGTGGATTCATTCTGCCATTTCCATTTTGATTTTGAAGAATTATCTACCCAAAAAAAAAAAAATGAATTCCTTTAGCTCTATTAATACAATTGATGCATGCTGTCAATGTTAGTTACCAAAAGCCAAATCTATAATGTATATTCAATCTGCCATTTCCATTTTGATTTTGAAGAATTATCTGCCAAAAAAAAAATAATAATAAAGTATTCAATAATTTATTTGTTATGTATAAGATCAATGTTACTATGTCCCTTTGGCTAACATCTGAAAATTGCTGATGCTGACATCAATCAATATAAATATTGAAGTAGCTGCAGTAAAATGGAAGAAGAATCCCCTAATTCAAATGGTCAAAAGTGAGGTCAGTCCATCATTTTTTAGCACATAATACATTTATCACAATAGCATCTGTTAAGTTGACATGTGGTGGGTAGCATCCAGGATCACTAGTAGGTCACGATTCAGGTGGAAACCCTAATTTTTTTTGCAAGTTGGTGCCTTTGTATATGACTTGCAAGTGAGAATGGCATGATCAGGAAGCTGTAGGGCGTAACAATAATACTAGATGATGATGCACAATGGCGTTTGTCATGCCTCTTATAAGCTGAATAATGGCATGATCATGAAGCCGTAGGGCATGATGTCTTTAACAACACAATTTCTAATCATGGTGAAGAAGCATATTCCCACATGGAAATACCATGTCAACTGTTGTGTTCTTTTGTGGACTCTGAGCTCAAACTGAATTATGCAGCAAAGTGTTTGATAATATGCCCGTGATAAATGTTGTGTCTGGAAATGCACTCTTATTGGGTTATATAGAGGCTAATTTTTAAAAAATTTAGTTTTTTGTATCACTTATTACCTACTAGCACAATGGCTAGGCAGCAGGTGGATGCCACACTGACGTTCACGATATTTATGCCTTTCAATGGAATTCAGTGATCAAAATCTAGAGTGGGACATGTAAAAAATCTTTAACATTTTCATCCATCTTGTTGCGATTTGGCATGGAAGACGACATAACTAAAGATACTTTGCTGAGCTCGGAGGCTTACATATGGGAGAATAGGCTTTATCCGGTTTCATCTTGGTATGTTTCTATGTTGGCCATCTCAGTCTGATGTCAGGTAAGTTTTGTTTTGATGTAGCCACTGCAAAAAATTTCTTCTACTTTGACTTATGGTTCCTGCAATTCATTTTGGCATGATCATTTCTTTTGGAACTACCATTATAGTTAAGAGGGAAAATGTATTGCTTGGACTCTATGATTTTGTGCTATTACTCGTATACATGACTTCATATATGTGTAATGGGTATCACATCATAAGCAACTATTCACTCCCATTCAGTTTAAACATCTTGCTTGCATCTATCTGACCATGCGCATGTCCAATTGTTGCTTTTTTCATGTCATGTTTGTGGATCTGCGCATTGCTGATATACTTTGTAAGTACTTCTCTTGCATTATCATTACAGGCATAAATAGTTTTGAGCATTGGAGGTGCATATTATTTTGTATTTTGCTGTTTATTTTTGCTTGATTTATGAACATATGTTTGGCCCCAGTTGTCTCGAACGTGTCCCTTATCTAAGAATCAATTGGCTTCATTTTCAAATCATCAAGAGATCTTCACCATGCATTTATGATTTCAACAATGTCCCTGATCATTTGGTTTGTTTTCCCACCTGTAAGGCATTATGCATTTTAACAAATATACACTAGGATTTTTTGGTCACCTAACCTTTGATCATTAGTTGGAAGACAGAATCATGTGATCCTTGGTATTTATGTCGCTCACCAGATTTCATCGAGCTCTCCTGACCACTCCCTTTAAAATCCCGAGGATTTCCATATATTCTATCCCTTCTATATATACCTCATATATGATCAAGTTTTTCAACCAGCACAAGGATCCACATTTTATACAATCAAAACTCACCTGTTCTTAAAGCCTTTTCAGGTTTCTTCTCTTTTTTGCAAAGAGCCAATCCATAATAGAGTATGGGTATCCTATTGCCTGGTGTTCTCCAAGCTAAGCAAATTCTCCGCCAATCTCCTCTGACTGCAAGTTCAGCAGCTTCAAATGCTGTAAATGTCCCAAAGTGGTACGTGGCAGTTTATGTTGGAGAGTCTCAGAAGACGCGATTTTTGGTTCCAGTGTCATACTTGAACCAACCTAAATTTCAAGAGCTGCAACATAAGGCTGAAGAAGAGTATGGATTTGATCATCCAATGGGAGGTCTTACAATTCCTTGCCCAGAAGACACCTTCCTAGACATTACCTCTCGCTTCAGTAGTTTATGAGAGTACACAGAGCTTACATGTAAATGAAGAAAAATAATAATAATAAAATAAATAAAATAAAAAAAGCAGATCATCAAAGAAAGTTTGGTAAATTATAGAGCAAATTACATGACCATCCTTTCTTTTTTTCGGAGGAAAAAAAAAAAAAATTCTGGAGGAAGGGAGAGCTCCCTATACAAATGCAACAAAAAGATTACATTCTTTTATTTTAATGTTTATCTCCTTGTTTCTTGCACTCTTCTTAATATCCATTTACTTCCTCTTGTGGTGTAACACCATATGGTTTTCAGAAATGTATGGCTTGATTTTGACATTCGTACTTTGGAGATAGCCTCATATGCATTAATATCTTTTGACAACAGGATTCATGAGTAGTATAGTTGTGATCAGTTGTTCTTTTTTATCTTGGACATTAATTTACTTTATTTTTATATTTTTCTGGTTTGTTTATGGAGGATGATTGAAATTAAAATGGTTATTTGCTTTACACCAAATATAATTTGTGAAATTGTAGGAAGATTGTATATGAATGGTAAGAAATAATCTTTGATAATTGTTCTAATCACCAGAAGTAAAAAATTTCGATTTCTGGATTATCAAATCATTGCAAGAATGACTAAACTCTTCCAAATACGACTCTTACTGAGCAATCATCCTATTCTCTTAATTTATCTTGGATTCTTGCAACATCCGAATTTGATAGATCATGAGAAACATACATAATAAAGTAGTCAAGAGAGACTACTCAAATAGGCATGACAAAGCTTTATTTCTGGTTTGCCCAATTTCATTTACTTTCAAGGTTGGACAATAAATAATGCATGCACATTGCCTTATGGATCAAGTATACTATGAATTGTCATGACTCGATAAGTGACCATTTGGCAATTTATGTTGGAGAGACACGCAAGCGTTGAGTCCCAGGACTTTGCATAGAGTCTACTGTCTACGTGGCCTGAGTAGAGTTGATTTGCATGATGTTTAGGGTTGATTTCTGGAGTCTTCCACATTTGTGGAGTATTGCAGAGAGAGAGAGTTGAAGATTATGTTATATTGGAGAGCTTTTAGAGTGTAAAGAATATTTTAGAAGTACGTATCTCTAATACTTTTTGTATTGTTTACCAATATTTAGAATATATATTAATGTGAGGATTTATAGGGAATAAATAGGTTGTCTATAAATAGCTAGGAATGTGACCCTTTGCTGGAATAACGAACTCGGATTCTCTTTTGGTGATGGATTTTGCTTCTTCTACCCCTATTTCCGTACGTATTCTTCAATACAAATATAATAAAGGTGGGTTTCTTTGTTCACTGTCATTCGAAATTTTGTGTAGGTTTCTTTGTTCACTGTCATCCAAAATTGTGTAATGCAAAAGGGAATATGAAATAGTAAAAGTACGCTATTAACCAGTTCCCGATAGATAAACTCCACTGTAAGTTTGAAGATTGAAGATTGAATCCCATTTCTTAATCTTCCTATCTTTTTGGATCCTTACAAATTCTTTCTCACGATACTTAGTTCTATTGGAAGTTTTACAATTTTTTTTTGTTTTTTAATTGGAGTTGTCTGTTTATCTAGAACCTTATTTATTATATACTATGATATATTAATCCATCTAGTAATTTTATGTACTTTGCTTCTATTCGGTGTGTGTATATATATATATATGGGTACTGTGCATAAAACCTCCCTGAACCATAATCTCTCTCAACAATCCCCTAAACTATTTTTTTGACAGTTAGCCCATGAACTATTAATTTTTTTGCAAAATTCCCTGGAGTGTTACTGTTCCGGTCATGCAATAATGGAGAATCAACCCATCTTTTCAAAAATGACAGTATTACTCTTTAAACAATTAGCCATACGATCTAATGGGTTAACCCGTATTAAATTGGTATCCCTCCACCCGATCAATTGCAACTCTTAAGAATTCTCTCTCTGCAATTCTGCCATTAACATTCAAACAAAAAATCAAGATTCATAATTTTGTCTAATATATAAAAAATCAGCACCCTAATTTGTATACTCCAATACAAACTCCATGAAAGAAACAATCAAATTTAGCACCAAAAAAAAAAAAAAAAAAAAAAAAAATTTGGTCCATACAAGAGAAGAACAGAGATTAAGATAAAGTTGGACATTAGTTAACATTTAGTGCTAACTAAACACTACAAAGCTAGGAGTATATACAGGTAAAGTACAACAAACCCCTCTCTCTCTAAACTATCAGCAATTTCATGAAATCCCTTAAACTAAGAAGTGCCTCCTCAACTATTAAAAATGTAGTGCAATTTAAGGACAAATTCAAAAGTCACTGTTACAACTGTGAAGGTATACTGTTATTAGTTGCTTCAAGACTTAAATATAAATTCCAAAGGAATAGTTTTGGAATTACTCTCGTGCAAGATCGCTTCTTATTGGATGAAGTGAACATTTAGGTCTTAGTGTGTCCTTATATTTTATTATTTCGCAAGTTATTTTTGAAGGGGATAAATACTTTTTGTCCGTAGGTTGTTTCAAAATCCGGAATTGGAGTGTTAAAAGAACACAAAGGAATGAGTCAACTTGCCTCAATAAAGATCGATTCTTTAATCATGTCACATTTAAGAATAATTTGTCAATCCATTAAACGATAAAAACTTGGTTGAGCCCGATAAACCATGCACCTTACTCACTCTAATTGTGCGTGATCCACTTTTTTACAAGTGTGGTGCATCATTTACTGGATGAATCAAGTTTTTCTCCCTTCCAAGTGACTCTGGCACGTCCCATTTGAAACTGACTCTGGCACGTCCCATTTGAAACAGTAATGTTACATTACAGTTTCAAATGGGACATGCCAGAGTCACTTGGATGGGAGAAAAACTTGATTAAAAGAATTCTTATAAGTTATTGTAACGACCCAAAAGATATCAAAATATTAATAATAAAATATAAAAAAAATTTCAGCATGACCTTCGTAGAAAAAATCTCTCTACAACCTGTTGAAAAAAAAAAAAAAATTGCAATGGCCTAACTGAGTCTTAAAAATAACCTATCATGTCCCAACGCACAATACAGATATTATACCACATTTCCAAAATGACTACATACATACAAAAGTCCCGTTCCTCCTTCTCATCTAAACAAGAAACACACTTAGGTTACATCAGGTTATAGTCCATAAAATGTAGTTAGAATTTAAAAATCCATAACTTACAACATTGTACCAATTAAACTAAAGTTTCACAAAATAATTAATATTACATTTACAAAATATTTGAGTTCTAATACAAAAGTTAGCAAAAATAAAATAGATCCCCAAGCTCGTCTAAACTTGTGGTGGATTGTCGTCCGCTATCTCTTTTCCATGTCCTGAAAAAAATGCTAAAAAAATGTTAAAAAAAAAAAAAATGGGGTAAGCATAATGTGATGTTTCCAAATTTCGGCATTTCTTAAATTTTTTCAGAATTTTGTTGATGCAAGGGCATTTTCGTCTTTTCACATGTTGTGTACAGAATTGTGGTTGGGTCTTGTTGCCTTTTTCACATTTTAATTTATGTGAATTATGTGATCATTATGTGGTGGTGTGCACTTGTATGTGTGTGGTGTAGAATTAAATAAAAGGAAAAGGAAAAGGAAAAGGTAAAAGTGGTGGGACCCACCACTACACAAGTAATGGTCTAGAGACCATTTTGCATCTCATTTCTTCTCTCTCCGGTAGCTTTTCTCTCTCTCTCATTTCTCTTCCATTTTCCTTCTCATTTTGGAAGCAACCTTTGAATCAAGATTTCTCTCTCATTTCTTATTGGAATTGAGTGCCGTTTGAGGCAAAACGAAGAGCACGACGAGCTCTACGCATTAGTACCATCAATTTCGGTTTGTGGTCTCCCTTTGGCCTTTGAAATCTTAGACCCATTTTAAGAGTTTTGGCTCACTTTTGAGGTAGGGATATCTTAATCCACTTCCTTCTTATTCCATAGTGAGTTATACTTTTTTGTTGTGCCAAGCATGCTTAATTAGAAGTTTATTGTATCAATGATTATTTTAAATGTTGTCTAGAGAAATCCATGTGTATAAATGTGAGTTGTTTTATGAGAAAAGCATGCTTAAATATATTTTGTTGTATCTTAATGTATGAATGATTACTTTGGAGATGTTGAACATGTTGTATGTTTAATTTTATGGTGTAGAACTTTAAATGCCATAACATTGAAGGTATGGTACATATAGTTACATGCACATACCATTGGGTTTGCATGAAATGGGAGAAATTGTTTCGAAACAAAAAGTGGAATTTTGGGAGAAGAGTTTTTGTGAAATGATTTTGGAAAACCCGGTCGCTGCGGGATTACCAACGGGCCGGAGGTTAATGTAGCCTAGAGGGGACTAGGGAGTCGTCCTAGCGTGGTTGAGCCAGCTGGCCTTATAATGACGCCGTGGGGTTACCAAGGGTCAGGGACACTAGCCAATCCTCCTCTTGTGTCGCAGTGGGGTCACCAAAAGGCGGGCTGTATTAATAGTTTGGAAATGATGTTTTGAGAAATGAAAATAAGGAGTGACCATGGCATGCATTGCATCACATTGCATTGCATTGTTTTTGCTTGGAGTTGAAGTGTATGTTGTTTTATCCTCACATAGCATGATCCTTATTTCCCATTGGCCTATGCTTTATTTGGATTCACAAGGACACAAGATGTGTGTCTTAAGTGTCACCTGCTGAGCTTTATGCTCACCCTACTATTTATATTTTTTTTTTTCAGGTTTTGGAAAAGATCCGGTGGACAACAATCCACCTCAAGCTTGAAAGTTGTTAGAAGACAACTTTTGCTACTTTTGTAATAGGACATTCTCTAGTATATTCATAGATTTTTGGTTATGTAACTATGATGTATAACCCCTTGTAAATGAATTGTAATTAAACGTTGGTTTATAGGATCAAGAGTTGGTGTTTCGTCCATGATTAATGTATGATGTATTTTCGCAGTGTTTTAAACAAGTTGTAG